CTCGAAAGCTCAATATAGAGCGCATCGTTCAGAAGGATGGATTGGAGGTATACAAGGATCAAGCTGGCCGTCTTGGACGGGTTTGGCTACGTACTGGATCAAACGCGCCGAATTCACCGGGCGAAGGATACTTTTGAAAAGGGCATCGCGACAGTGCTGACGATCCGTGACTTCACGCAGATCTTCGACTCGTATGCGGAATTCTGCGAGTCGTTAATTACTGCCTTGATGCAAAGTCTCGAAATCGAAGAGGACGATGAAGATGCGGAAGAGACACAAAAGGACTTGGATCAGCGGATGGTCGATTTCGAGGATTTGATGGATCGCAGACCGTTCCTGGTGAATGATGTGCTTTTGCGCAGAAATCCCAACGATGTGCAAGAATGGGAAAAGAGAGTTGCTTTGTGGGCGAAGACGATGAGAAGGTATGATTCCACCGACTCGCAGCGCTTCATCTAAGCTTATCGTTTCCAGGTGGCTGCGACTTACACGAAAGCATTGGAAACTGTGAATCCTCGGAAAGCGACAGCCAACCTACATCGTCTCTATATCAATTTTGCCAAGTTTTATGAGGAGGGTGGCACTACCGGCCAAGCCGAAGAAGATCTCGACAGTGCCCGGAAGATCTTGGAGAAGGCTGGGAAGGTCAACTTCAAAACCGTCGAGGATCTCGCAGAAATATGGTGCGAATGGTCTGAGCTGGAACTGCGGCATGAGTGAGTCTTGAACACGATGTCCGCAATGCTTTCTGACATGTGATAGCAACTATGACGAGGCGATTCGTGTGATGCAAAGAGCTGCAGCGGTCCCGAGGAACCCCAAAGTCAACTATCATGACCATACGTTGACAGCCCAAGCCCGTCTATTCAAATCTCTCAAGCTATGGTCCTTCTACGTAGACCTGGAGGAATCCATCGGGACAGTTGAATCGGCCAAAGCCGTGTACGACAAGATCCTCGACTTGCGAATCGCCAATGCGCAAATCATCGTCAACTACGCCGCGTTCTTGGAAGAAAACAAATACTTTGAGGAGAGCTTCAAGGTGTACGAGCGCGGTGTGGAACTGTTCACATTCCCCGTGTCCTTCGAGATCTGGAACATCTATCTCTCCAAGTTCGTCAAGCGATATGTGAGTGTCAACTGCTAAAACTGGCAGGTCAACTAACGACACTTCCAGGGTGGTTCCAAGCTCGAGCGAGCTCGCGACTTGTTCGAGCAGGCGCTTGAAAAGTGCCCGGCAAAATCGTGCAAGCCAATCTTCTTGATGTATGCCAAGCTGGAGGAGGATTATGGACTTGCGAAGAGGTCCATGTCCATCTATGACAGGGCTACGCAAGTGGTGGCTGACGAGGATAAATTCCAAGTTCGTTGTTGCGGTATCTAAACTGCATGCCCAATGCTGACCGAACCCCAGATGTTCTCGATTTATATCGCGAAGGCGACTGAGAACTACGGATTGCCGGCCACGAGATCAATCTATGAACGAGCTTTGGAAGGTAAAGTTCGCGTGACTTTTCGGAGTGATGTCGCTCAACCTTCGCACAGTCCTTCCTGACCGACAGACGGCCGAGATGTGTCTCCGTTTCGCAGCGCTAGAGCGTAAGCTGGGCGAAATCGATCGGGCACGGGCGATCTACGCCCACGCCTCGCAGTTCTGTGATCCTCGAGTGAATCCCAAATTCTGGGGCGAGTGGAACACATTCGAGATCGAGACAGGCTCGGAGGACACTTTCAGAGAGATGCTGCGGATCAAACGAAGTGTCCAGGCCCAGTTCAACACCGAAGCGAGTTACTTGGCAGCACAGACGATCGCTGCGAAAGAGGGCAACCAAGTCTCTGTTTCCAGTGCGGAGCCGCTGGATGCCATGGCTGCTACCGAGAGAGCGAACGCCCCGGCATTTGTCGCTGCAAAGCAAACCGCGTTGCCCAAGCCAGATAATCAAGCTGATGCGCCAGCTGATGCAGCCGCTGGTAACGCCGACGAGATTCACATTTCTGACGACGAAGACATGTAAAACAGAATGTGTAATAGCAGTGCAGTATGTAACAGTGAAGGCTCAGCGCTCAAGGTCGGGCCTTTCACTGAGTGTGCTGATATGAGTCATGTTGATTACGATCAAGAGCGCCGAGTCGACAGTTGTTCGTTGTTTACGCCGCATTGCCAAGTCTTGCAACTGCGCTGCACGGTCAGCACACAGCACTACACGAACACCAGCCTGTCTTCTTCTACTTTCTGCAATACAAACACTCCCCATGGCGAGCAAGGGCTGGTTCAACCTTGAAAGCGCTGGCAGCGTTATTCCCGAGACCCAGTACTTCGAGGGCGAATCGGCGTTCAAGTTTCTCAATCTCTCACGCACGACGCGATTGTATGGATTCGTGGGCTGGTGGATATCCTCACTCCTCCTTGCTTCTCAGAGCTTACTGTGTTGCTCAGTACAGCGGTCGGGTTTCTGCTTAGTATCCTTGGTGGCATTGTGCTCTTCCTCGGCCAAATTATCTTGTTCGCGTGTCAGTGTGCACTCCCTCAGACTCTTCAATGATCTAAAATGCTCCGCTAGTCCTCTACGGTGTCGGAACCCTCGTTTCGCTAGCTGGGACTGGATTTCTGCTCGGGGTACGCTCACAACTGGTTGAATGTCAAGATTGATTTACAACGTTCAAAAGTTTGGCACGCAGCTCAAGCTGGTGAGTTCTCGCGTGGATATTTCGGGAAACAGACATGAACGGAGCTTTTGTGCAGATGTTCAAGCCTGTGCGTGTGTTGGCTACGGTCGTATTCCTAGCCTCCATTGCCATGGTATTCGTCGGCGCATTTGTGATCGGCAGCGAGGTGCGTCTCTTGTTCACAGCACGCCTACCAACGCTCATGGACTGTATCTCCCATCAGCTGCTGTGCATCAGTAAGAGACACGGCCTCAGTACGGGATCTCAAGTACTGATTTGCTATTGCAGTTCTTGTCATCGTCGAATACTTGGCGTTCACGTGGTACAGCCTGTCGTACATCCCGTACGCCCGGACAGCAGTTCTCAAGATGATCGGGTTCAGCTAGGTTACACCTCTCCTGTTGCCTCTTGTTACAACTCTGTATATTACTGCGCCGACCTAAATTGACCTTGATCCCAGTTCTTGATGGATCTCGGTCCGCCATCAGAAGGGTGGCCGAGATCTAACTCACAATTGATAACTTAATTCCCCGCACTCTCGAGTGGGTGTTGAAGCATTCTTGCGGTGATTCTGAACTCCTTGGGATATATTAAAAACCGACAACTGGTTGAAACTCGAGATGACATTTCTCACGATCGAGTCGTCGACCCAAGAAAGCCCGAGTTGACAGGATCTGGGTCGATAGCACATACATCGAAGAAGTGATTGAGTCGCCGGGAAAAAACGGATGACATTGCGCCGTTGCACATCTATTGGACCCTCAGATGACTAGCAATGTGAGCGCGCCCGATGCCGACTCTTTTGACATGCGAATTTCCCACATCTTCGATACTTACCACAAGCAGTCAAATCTCTTCAGTTCGAGTTTAGTCCTTCGGGCCATCCTCAGTGAATCAGAATGAAGCAATATTCGGATCGTTGGACTTGAGCGGGAAGACTGCAAGCCCTCGGATGCGAGCGAATGGGCTACCTGCGCAGCTGTTATCACTCATCCGTCGTCCAGTCCACATCATGTGGGTAACGACCTATGGAAAATTCTGCTCGAGGGTAGCAGAAACTCGGGCGGTCGTTTTCTCACGCAATCCAAATGTATGCTTTGGGGACAAGTTGGTTGCTATCTGCGTATGCTGAGACACGTGATGAATATACAGCAGAAATGCCTCCGTGGCTTGGGTGTTGCTCAGAATTTGTTCTTTGCTGTGCGCAGAGCGTCCATGACGGCCGACCTTGGTGCGTCCTGTCCCACATTCACAGCACGTCTGTCAGTGTGATTAAGAAGGATGATTGATATGGGACCGAAGGGCCGTCCTCTTACCTGACCTCAGCATCTTGAAGACGGATAAACACATTCCAAGCCTTCTCGTCCGCGATCGTAGTAAGACCAGTCGTGATCGTGTTCGCCTTCACCAGGGCCTCCAGACGCGCGACGTCGGGATTGTCGGGCTCAATGGATTTCGCGAACGCGACGTTGCCTGCGGTATACTCGTGTCCGTTGTAAGTGATTGTCTCGTCGGGCAGCGATGCGAGATAGGACAGCGCGTTGTCCATCTCCTCGCCCGTGCCCTCGAAGAAGCGACCGCATCCGGCGATGAACAGCGTATCGCCAGTGAATACCCCGCCCGGGTGCGTCGGGTCAGAGGCATCTGTTGCGTGATAGCAGATGGAATCTTGAGTGTGACAAGGAGTAGCTAGACACCTGGAATCGAATGAGATGGTTGCCCTCAAGTCATAATGCATGAGCAGCTGCTCCAATTGCGTACTTGATGCGGATATTCGAACCGAAGGTGAACTCTTCTCCGTCCTTCAGGAGCTTCGTCGCGGCCGGAGCTTTGTCGGAGCCCGCATAGATAATTGCGCCCGGGAACTTCGCGGCCTATTGAAACACTCGCGTCCAATCTCAGTCGCCCCGAAACAAGTGTTGGGCGCACAAAGCTTGCATTGCCTCCCGAATGATCTTCATGGTGATGGGTAGTTATCGCCGCTACCAGGGCCACTCCCAGGCCTTTAGCAGCGGCGCTGACTTTGTCGACCTCCGAGATTCGCAGTGGTCAGATGTAGTGGTAATGTAACACCGGGTGCATTTACTCACATCGAACGGATCAACGGCGGCAGCGGTCTTAGTCGCATCGTCGATGAGCAGGTAAGCGTAGTTGTCTTGTCTGACTGGGACGGGCACGATCTTCATTTTGCGCGAGAGCGATGTGCTGAATAAACGAGCTCGAGTTGGGAACATTCCTCAAGTTCTTCAGTCATGAGAGAACATCCGCGGCACCGCGCCGGCATGATGTGACATAATGTCAAACACGTCAACTCTCGCGATCGTCGACTCGTGCCACGATCGTCCACACCCACACAACTGGGTCGCTTAGATCATGCAATCGAATCTCAATTGGCGACGGTCAACAGAGCGTGGGTGCAGCTCTGTCGTCTCTTGCCTTCGCGGCTTTTCTGCCCGTTCCTCTGTTCTTTCCTTTCCTCTTGTTTCTTGTCCTTGAATCTCTGTTCTCTTGCGCTGGATCCGCATGCTTGTCGACTTTATCAGGAGACAGCCGTTTCATTTCGGACCCTTTGGCCAGGGCGTACGTTCTCGTGTTCGAACTGTTACCTCTCATCTTCCCTGAATCCATTCTCCAGAAATCTATAGTGGATGGACTCCGCAAGGACGCCCAGAAGTTTAAGGACTTATTTCACCCTGGGGCTGGTAATTCTCCAGCCCAAACCCCCCCTTCAAACCCGCCGCCCGGATCCAATAACAACGCCACTGGTGGAGGAGCAGCTGCCCCGTCCTCGACTGGAACCTCGACATCGGCTGAAACCTCGTCGCATACTACAACGCATGCCGATGCAACTACCAGTAGCACCTCGACTTCAGTCCAAACGGATTCTCCCACACAAACGCAATCTCCCACCAGTTCGACCACTGTACCGTCCAAAACCAACACCACTCCTTTCACTACCTCAGCGCCTTCTCCTTCCTCTGTGAGCCCAATTTATCCGAAGAAAAGCCTCCGGAGTTGATCAACATCTGCAGCCACCGGACGCGATTGCGCCAACGTCGGTCTCGTCTCAGGACTCTGTCAAGTCTTCTGCGAGCCTAACTGCACCAGCGAGTTCCGCATCGGCGGTACAGTCGCAGTCCATCTCACAGTCCTCGGCCTTCGCACTGTCGACGGGCGCATCTGACATCGCTCCAGAGAGCACAGTGCAGCCAAAAGCGTCGACGAGTGCCACTTCCCACGCCCCAACTGGCGCGATAGTAGCCGGTATCCTTGGCGCTCTAGCGCTGCTGACTATCTTGAGTCTGGGTGCCTTCTTCCTGCTGCGAAGACGGCAGAGACGTCGCACCGCGCCGTCCGAAGACTTCATCCGAGAGAACTTCAATGTCGTCTATCCTTCGGCTTACTACGCAGCTGAATCACAGTCGTACCGGAGCAGCATGTCCTTTACAGATCCCGCTCTCTCGGTCTATTCGGAGGAAAAGTCTAGCCACCGGTCTATGATCGATTCCCGGCTGGAATATCCTTGAATTAGTGGCAATATGTTGTATTGTACAAATATGTACATTATACCCGCTTTAGTTGGCTAAAATGGCTTGAACAACATTAGCGACTCTCAATTGCCGCAGATCGGTATACGTCTGGAGCTAATCAGCGACACACGACATGTCGACAGCTGTTGGGCACACACCTGTCCGCAACCGACGAAAATGATGGGCTGGCCAGTAACGTAGGTCATCGACAGTGCTGCGCCGACTTTATCGTCTACGGTGTCCCACTTGGTCACAAGCATCCCGTCTATGCCGCGCCCTTTGCCAGCCCCAGATGCAGAAGAGAAGTCACGCAGAGCTCGGTCGAACTTGGTCAACTGATCGACCGCTTCGTTTCCGACGAGGGCTTCTCCCACGAAGATGATCTTATCCGGGGAATTGACCGCCACCAGCTGTGTAGAAACGGTCAACATCAGCGATCAATCAACGAGCATCGGACAGCTATGTATACCTTGGCGAGAGCACGCATGAGAGGCTCGTTGTCTTGCATGCGACCAGCCGTATCTATCAGAACAACATCGAAGTCGTTGTCCCGGCCTGCTTTCGGTCAATGATGGCCCCAGGAAAGGTATCCCATGCTGACCATAGCTGATGGCTTCCCGTGCGATGCCAGCCGCGTCCTTGCCGTATCCCCTTTCAAACAATTCAACTCGGCCCTTGCTATCAGTGGCGCCGTCCACTCCCAGCATGCTTAGATTGCGAACATGCACTCGGAGCTGCTCAACCGCTCCACTCCTAATGAACAATGATGAGTCAGCTCAAGCGGGCGATCGAAGAAAAAGGCGGACCGGAAGGTGTCGCATGCAGCAATCAGCACTCGGAGCCCGTTCTGGATCAGCCAGAAGCAGACTTTAGAAAGATTGGTGCTCTTTCCCACCCCGTTGACTCCGACGAACGTGATGCTGTATGGCATTCGCTGCTGTGTGGACGGCAACGGCGAAGACAGCTTTGTTCTAATCGAAAGGAGCAGGTCGGTCGAAGTTTTCGGAGTCAAAATACGTGTCAAAGACGTCGACAGGGCCATCCTGACAGCAGCGTTGGTGGCTGGAGAGTTCTTGAGCTGGAGGGTACATCTAACAGAAAGTCACGTACTTTGGAACCCGCCCACTTTCTTTCCTATCAAACTCTCACCCACTCCCTCGCATACTTTCTCAGCGATGTCGACCGCGACGTTCTTCTTCATGAGATGCTGCTTCATGCCGTCGAGCACAGGCTTCAGGTCTTGTTCAGTGAGCACTTTGGACCCTGTCAAGCGCGAGAACAGGGATCCCAACGCGCCGAGAGAGCCGGTGGACGCCGCCGGCTTGACCTCTGGTCCTTTCAAGGCAGCCGCGATCGCACTGTCTTCCTCTTTGGAGAACTCCCAATCTTTGACCTCGTACATTCCATCTTGAGTTCGAACCCCAAGTGACGCCTGGTCGACAAGGGCTTCGAGGTCCTGCGAAAGACCTGCTTCACTGGGTGAATCCATGCTGTAGTCTAAAGACGCCATGTCCGATTCGGTGGGGACTTGATCACCCCACTTGCGTTGTACCTTGGCGACTTTGGACTTCTTCTTTGAGGGAGTCGATTCGGTACTGGAGCGTCGGTTTAGACTGGGAGGGGCTATCGAAGAGAAGGAAATTGCGCACTCGGAGCCAGGGACGCTCTCCCTGCCGCTTCCGGCCTCCGACCGTCCCCCTCGCCCCCCGCGTTTTCCACCTCGGCCTCGTAAGCGGTTCTTAAGTGCCTGCACGTTGCGCGCGATTTGCTGCTCGTCTTGCGGAGTGTCTGAAGACTGTGTGGGGACTATAGTTTGGAGTATCAGCACCCTGTTACTCCTACACGAGAGAAAACTGACGCGTTTCCAGCTCTTCCGAGGGCGGAGAGCTGGAGAGATCATCCACAAGGGCCTTCTCGACTGGCCGCAGACGTGACCGCCGGTCCTACGAGAACAGGTTAAGCCTCGGGCCGAGGGAAGGACAGGTAGGTCCACATACCAGAGCGGCCTTTTCCTCCAGACTCTTAAGCAGTTTGTCGAATATCTTGTCCCAGCCATCGAAAGTATGTGCGAAACTAAGTGCCGTGGTCGCTTCGATGATAGTCGTCTTCCCGGAGTTCATAGCGTGCAGCGAGGCCACAAAGGTCGCCAGAAACGGTTGGAACATCTTGACGAACAGCGTCTTCAGAGCAGCGAGCAGATCGTCGACATAGGTCAGTTGCAGGATACGCTGGTATGCGACCTGGGATCTCATTCTTGGTATCCGGGAGTAAGCATACGCAGGTGAGCGTGACGCACCACGAATATGAGCTCGAGGTCGTTGACGAACGTCCATTTCACGGCGTAGCCGTCCTTCTCATACTTCTCTTCTGCTGTGCGGCCCTCGATCAATGCCTCGCGGATAAGCGAGTTGACGGGCGATGCGGAGGAGGCAGCCAGGTGCGAGGCGTCAGGCGTGAAGGAGCGCGACCAGAGGACGATGCCGCCTGGAAAACAAGGTTGAGGGGAGTGGCCGTGCATTGTTAATAGAGGGCACACCTTTGTGCGAGATGGAGCAGTGGTCGAGCATGGTGGGGAAAGCGGAGCAGAAATTTAGAATGAGCTGTGCACCGTCGACCGAGCCATCAAGCGATGATCGTGTGACTAAGCGCGAGATTTATCTTATCTTCCACTACTTACGGCCGATCAGGACGTCAACTCAAGATAAGACTGATAGAAAGGCACGGAGATGACGACGGCCCAGCCAGTCTTACGATGTTCGACGCTGAATACTCGGGATCTAGGATAAATCGAGGCGCTCATCCGCAGCACCGGCGCTTGCATGTATGTACTCTAGATCCGAGTGGTGTTCAGCTGCTGCGCACGACTGCGGTTCCCGTCTCCCGTGTGTATACTGTACATAGAGAGTTTAATAGATAGCTGATAGTTATAACACGGTAGTTTACGCTCCGTAGAGCAAGATTCTCCAACATGTCCCTTCTGCGCACCGGCAAGATGTTCCACTCTGCCTGCATCTGGACTCGACCTCACACTGGCATCTGGCCACTTTTCAGTTGCTGTCGGGGTTGAGACTCGAGTTCGACCGGAGAACAATCGGACCGGTACCGCCCACACATGCCCACAGTGCAACAAAGGTCGAAAGCTCAACTAACTGTGCTTGCCTATTCTCTGATTCTGACGCGCGCGCACCTCCAGCTTCCGTTTTCTCGAGCACGAGCACGAAAGAGGTCGTCCTGCTGTTCGTGTCCGTGGCATCCTGGAAGGGGGACTCCGTATGGCTTTGCACCACCAGCGGATGTGGATGGTCCGCATCAATTGACGAGGATCCCTCGTAAGTCTCCACTAGCCACATTATGCTGGAACCTAGGCGTCTGAGTATGATTGTGCTTAGGACCTGGGAGCCCGGCGTGGGAGACTTGATGAAATAAGCTTGTGAATGACTACCCGGTCGCGTTGTTAGTGGATAATACTGGATGAGACGGTGAGGTCAAGGATCAATGTATTTGGTTAATGTGCAAACACTTGTATCTCGTATCAAAAGCTACAAAAAGTACATGCTCCCCTGGATGTTAGAATGGACCTGGCGAAACGCCTTGCACCATTGATCGAGGTTGATCTCACGCTCTCCGCTTGCGTTGCTCGCGGTGTCGAAATGCAGCCCCTCGGAAGGGTCCATGTGATACTTGCCGCGAGCACAGGCGAGCTAAATGCGAAAGATCAGCCAAGCAGCGGACACGAGCTGTTATAACCCTCACATCAGCATCTACGATGATCTCATCAGTATAAAGTTCGGAATCGCAGACACCACGGCTTACAGTAGACTGGCGCCGGAATGGACACCGAACGAGTCGCCTTCGCATAAACGTGGCATAGCGCAAAGGACAAGTCTTGCAATCTGTCACGTCAATCAACACGTCTCCCCCGTCCAGTCAGCCACGCGTTGGACTCACTGCTGCATGCTGTCCCCCATCTCATTCAGCAAGACGATGTAATGCGCCGAGCGCGATGCTGCGGAGATTATGAGCTGAGATGTGGAGGCCCATGCACTCGATTCAGCACACTCACTGCCTTTGATAGCAGCATGCGACTGCAGGTAAAAGTCCTCGTAGTACGGATTCGCCAGTTTGTCCGAAACGACGAGTCCGGCCTTGCAATTGCCCGTTTTGTCACCAGCGGAAGGCCTGTCGATCGATTTAGTTGTGCGTTCGTGAAAGAACGGGAACATTGGCTGACTTGTCGGGAAAGAAGGAGACGTGGTGCCTTGCGTTGGTTTTAGCCACGAATGGGCCACATTGACAACAGTAGAACTAACCGTTTGCCAACAACGATCAAGGTCAACTTCGGCTTGGGATCCGGGATATTGAATCGTGTCCAGACTTGGTCTATCGCATCTTGGAGCCAACTGATGAGAATCGCACGAGGCAAACTCTCACAGAAACACACCTTTGATGGCCTTGATCTCGAACGCCTTGACATTCTCAAACTCGCCCTCGGAGACGCCGTCGCGGTAAAAGTAGATGCGCGCAGGCGACCTTCTGTTCCGCTGCCCGAACATGGACAGCGCACCGGCGACCATTTCCTGGAGGGATTCGGGCTCGATGATCTCGAGGCGGGGCGCCTGGACCCGGGACGTTGCACAATATCGCGTGCCAAGCTCGTCGAACGACCAGACGACACTGGCGACGGAAACGCTCGACGAGCCCGGGCTGGGGTGGTTGACGTCGGCGCCGAATATCATGACAGGGACACTGCATGCTTTCTGCAGTGCGGACGAGTTGGTCCGTGCGTTGACACCCCCGAGGCGAGCGTTGATCCTGTGGATCTGATTACTCCATGTCAGATAGAGTAAAACTTCCTCCTTACTTGAGAGCGATATTGTTGAAGTATTGGTTGTTTCCGCGACGCAGCTTCTCCTCGTTGAGACATTGAGTGCGGACGCCTATAACATATCAGAACGAGTTGCCCTTTACGCTACGAATCAGACTTGCCCAGTTCTATGTCAGCGGTGTACTTGACGGCCACTCGGGGATCATCTGCCTTGGCTGGGAGCAGCACGATGATGATCTCCACTTTTGCGGCTCCGCCGAGGTCTCGACAGATGTTTTCCATCGCCTGCAGGGTCGCTCAGTATCCTGCAATGAACGAGACGCCATCTGCACCTCCTTTGCTTGCATCGGATTGACAGTGTCGACCTTGGTGGGCTCTCTGACTGCTACAATGAAATGATTGAAGTGAGGGTCAGCGATGAGACAGAAAACATACCCATGCCTGTTAACTGTCATTAGATTCGCTCGCAGCCCGGGAGTACCATTGACAGACTCACCTAGTTTGCGGCAACAACCCATCAAGTCTCCGATGGTTTTGGCGAGCAGATTCTGGTGGATTCCGCGCGGGTCGAGGTTCAGCACAGCCCACCGGTCGAGCGCCTTGGCCTTGAAGAACGTCGTGTTCATCACATTCCAGGCGCCGTCACGCGGTGTCTATGTCGCTCAGAGACACCCCCGCAGCCCCGGGAGAGCACACTCACCACCGATCCCGAGCCAAAGTCGAGCGCAGGAACGCCCAGATACGTGCCATCCACGACCAGTGGAGCCGTGTCGATGTCCATCCCGGCTTCTCGCATGTGCTGGCTAGCAGCAAAGCGGCGCACAGGAGAGTGCTGAGCGTTGGTCCCGGCGATGCCTTGGACGGTGGCGAGACGTTCTTTCGGGGGCAGGGCCGACATCTTGATCATTTCCGACGTGGCCTGGCCGCTGAGCGTCTTCTTGTAGAACTGGCCTTCGACCATGACACAAAGCTCGACCGGGATGATGACCGGATGGTAAGTAGACTTGGGTGTCGAAATCACAACCCCGAACAGCTCGGGGTGTTGCAGGCGGATGTTGTACTGTCTCTGGAAGTATTCCTGACGGGAATCAGTCTACAATCCCGATACTGGTGTGGGAAAGCCTCACAGCAATCGTTGTGCTCCTCCCCATCTTGTCGTTCTTGAACGAGTAGCTGCCGACTGGCCCCGGGTACAGCTCACGAATCGTTTTGATCCTCGACTCGGCCGTGCGCGTCCTGATATGCCGCTTGTGGAAGAACGCAGTGAGCGTGACGAGCGCCCGGTGGCCGGGATCCGAGATGGCCAGGTCGCGAACGTTGTTGGACCCGAGGACCTCGAGCGACAGGTCGATCAGGGACCCGCGTTTGTAGAACGCCGCGACCGCGGTGTCGACGGTCACGAGCATGCCGCCTCGGGCCGGGCGCATGGCCTGGGAGTACCCCGACCAGAGCTCGATCGGCATGCGAGTCGGCGCGCGCAACCCGACCGGGGTGAAGTAGCTCTTGCCTTTCGAAAAATACTCCTCCTGAGACGCCTGGATCAGGACCAGCTGCAGCAGATTGGTCGCAGCGAGCTTGTCGGGGTGATTGCCCGGTCGCAGCAAAATTCTGCGTCGCCTGGATGAGCCAGTAACAAGCGGAAAGCACTTCCAACGCACGTGGGATCGATCTCCTGGCCAGCCGTGCGGATAATTTTGATGTTGTACCACCCAGCAGCCTCGGCAGATGCTTCCTGGCGATGCGCATGGACGCGGTACTGCTCATGGTAAACGAGTGCCTCCACGTGACAGGCATGCCAGGCTCACGGTTCCAGTTTCGATGGCGGAGGACGAATACATCAGGCTGCCGCCGTCGTAGAGGGGACGCGTCTGGAACTTGTTGGCGTAGACGAGCAAAGCTTTCTGGATCAGCCTTTGCCGCTTATCGACGTCCTTCCCCGTCTTGCGGGTGAGCGCAGGCTCGAACACTGGCGATCGGTCAGAGATCAGCAACTCGAGAGAGCGGTCTCAACTCAACTCACCCACTGTTCGTCATTGGAATTCATCGATCGCAAGCAAAGAAGTTATTCGCACCTTCGTATTGGAGATATTTTTTGTCCGATAACCTAGATCAATGATAAGGAATATAACATGCAGACAGATATCTGGATCAGGGCGTACTTTTTGACTCGAAAAGAGTTCGTGATCACCTTGACCGGGTTAGACATAGTGAGCTGAAGAGGGGAGGAGAGACCAGTCCTCGAGGGCGGCATCTTATACAACCCTGCCAGTTTACACCTATGCACAGCCGCTGCACTGGCCTGAGGGCGACCCTGCATGATCTGCGCAGCAGCACTTCGACCCTTAGGGAAGAGGCAAGACGACGACTCACAGAAGAGCAGGTCCAGAAAAGCAGAACAAAAATGCATTCAACAATGTAAAGACGCGGGTGGCGCCGCGCAGTACGCTAATATAGAGTAAGAGCGGGAAATAAAATGAGCAGTCCGGCGCGGTCCATCGAGGTGCGATATTACAGGCGAATACAGACACCTAGCAGGGCAGCACTGGGTATCAGGCGGTACCGGCCACGACTGCCAAGTGGGGGACAGGAGCGACGCACTCAGCAGCAGCCGGATGATTGCTGTTGCGTCATCGTCTGCCCAGGAGTGATCGTAGACGATTTGCCGGCGGCGCCAGCGGGTGTCGAAGAGGACCCCATCCTTTCAAATGCATCAGCGGAGTCATACGGCAGCTGACGCAAGCCAGGCGCACCGGTCCTTGATCTGCTTGGCCATTGTCAAGAACGCCTGCTCGACGTTGGTGGCGTTCTTGGCCGACGTCTCGAGGAAGGGAATCGTGAGCTGGTCGGCGAATTCCTGATGAGGTATCAGGATCAGTTACGCGGCCCTTCATATCAAATACAACGTGCCTTCGCCACCGAGTACTCGACGACCTTCTTGCCAGTCAAGTCCGACTTGTTGCCGACAAGAAGCTTGTTGACACCTTCGGAGGCATAGCGGTCAATCTCCTGCAGCCACTGCTTGACATTTGTGAAAGTGTCTGAGTGGCGCGAGTCAGAACAAAGCGTAGCTAATCTGTCGTAGAGAGACGAGCCCACCGTTGTCAGTGACATCGTATACGACGATGATACCATGGGCGCCGCGGTAGTACGAGGAGGTGATCGTTCGGAAGCGCTCCTGGCCTGCGGTATCCCACTGGAGCGTCACAGTCAGTCATGGCGTGGTCAGGCACAGAAACAAATTGCGCACAATCTGGAGTTTGACAGTCTTTCCCTCGAGCTCAATTGTCCTGATCTTGAAGTCCACACCGATGGTGCTAATGTAACTCTCCGTGTATGTGTCGTCGGCGAACCGGAGGAGGAGACAGGACTAGGAAGAATGAGAGCCTGAAACGGGCGTCCGATAATAGAGCCACCTTTCCGACACCGGAGTCACCGATGAGGAGAAGCTTGAAGAGGTAGTCGTACTCGCTGGTGTGCATGGTGGAGAAGGGGGAAAGGGTGAGGCAAGTGGCTATGTGCACTTGTTGTGATGTGCTTACGATTGGGCTATGCCGCCTGAGCGCGACGCACCATCATGCCTCTCCGCCGACTGAAACCCGTTGCAGCCTTCTGGGCGCTCATACCGCTCGTTTCTTGCACATTTTCTGGCTTCCGAATCCCGCTCGCCCGAGTGCCCTCTCTCTCTCCACGCCTCACTCAATCGGTCCCGCAGATCAAATTAGGCAACGTACAACAGTAGTGAGTTTGGCTCGCGCTCGTTTCAGCAGGGACGCCGAGCCTCTTCCCAGTACATATGTGCTTCCAGTCGGCATCGGCAATCAGCTCTTCAATCTGGTGTTTGATACCGGCTCATCCGATCTCTGGGTTGCTTCACACAACTGCACTAATGAAGACTGTCGTGCTGTGTCACTCTATGATCTTAGTCCGACCTCAGTAGGGACAGGGCTTCCGTTCAGACTCGATTATCTTACTGGTCAAGTGAGCGGGCAACTGATATTCGACACAGTGGATCTTGGGCCGTACTCAATTCAAAGTCAAATTCTCGCCATCGCCGACCGCACTGCAGACTTGGGTCTCGAGTCAACTTCTACATCTGGAATTCTAGGAATGGGACTCATGGGCTCAGCGTCAATCCCCGACACAGCTGGCCAGCCCTTCCCCGTTAATCTCGTTTCGCCGTTCCCCGAAGACGAGCAGTACTTTGCGTTCCATCTTAGCCGCCAATCGGGATCCGATGACCCCCAAGCGTCGTTTACTGTCAGCTCTATCGACACCGATCTCGTCTCTGACCCCAGCCGCATCACTGTGTTTCCTGTTATCCAGACCGGTCGGCAATATGACTACTGGAAACTATGCATCTTGCACTTCACTATCAATGGTCAACCGCTCTCGATCTCATCTTCTCGAGTTCCTGGTGCTCCATGCCCGATGGCCGTGCTGGACACTGGAACCACGCTCTTTCTCGGACCTTCGGCCGACGTGGATGCGATATATCGCTCGCTGAACATCTCTGTCCGCAAGGATCCTGACGTCGGCTACCAGATTCCCTGTACCTTCGCTGTTCTCATCGGCGTCGTGCTCGGCAATCCGGCTCAAGAGTACATCATCGACCCTGCTGATATGGCGTGGAACGGCGGCTCCGACGACGAGTGGTGTACGGGCGGGATCCAAGCTAACGACAATGTAAATTCTGGCGACTGGCTTCTCGGAGATGTGTTCTTGCGCAACGCCTATGTCGTCCATTACATGCGTCCACCCCGCATTGGCCTCGTCGGCCTTACGGACCCCGTAGCTTCAATGAAAGCATTTCGTGCGGAGCGGGGTCCGGCGCCAGACGGCGAGGCCGACAGCGACGTTATGGAATCCGAAGAAGAAGACGCGTGGAATTCGACGACAGCTTACGTCAAACGATGGCAACATCGAGCGAGCAGCGAGACCGCCCTGATGTTCGGTGTGTTTGCCGGGGGAGCCGGCTTCGTCATGGGTGGGCTAAGCGTCGTCGGATGGAGAGCCTGGCGAGGGGTCTGAAATCACACGTACGTGTGCACGAATTATTTTGAGTTGGGGCATTTATGCACGCCATTTTGCAACGGATCCATTAGTGATGCTACTAGAAATTGAAAATCTCGCCTCGAGCTGGGACTTGAAGAAAGGAGTATGAACGCAGCCTCAGCACATCTATGCAGGAAAATCAAAAAACGCCGCGGCTGGCCTGTTGTCTTCAGTCAATGCGCTTACATAAGCCAATGGGTGCACCCATCACAATCGCATCTAGCTGCACCGCCTCCAACTCGGGCAACTTGCCATTGCACTCATAATCCGACACTGACAATGTCACTAGCAATACAAACCTCAATCTCATCGTCCGTCTTCCTTGTAACCAGCCCAATTCATTATCTTGATACTCCTCTATTACATTCATCGTGGTTCTCGTCAATGTCGCAAGGGTCAGCGCCACATGAACTTTGAAGCGCTGGGCAGATCACTGCGGCAGATGTCGCATGCAATAACGGCAAGAAGCAGAGAGGTCTCGGTGAAAACCAATCCTTTCCTTCTGTCTAGGCTCCTTCGGCATTGTTCTATCGGTACCTTTTGCGAACTGAATTGCTCTGGCTTTCAGACTCAAGGATACTATCAATATGTCAGTGCGTTCGATATCCCCTGCTCATGGCATCGGGTTCTAAAAATTTTCTCATTGGGTTGGATGTCATCTCTGAGCGCGGCTAAATTCCGGATCTAGTTATCATACCCGACGACATGGCAAAGGTCCCCGAGTGACGCCGCCGTCCAGCCCATAAATTCCAGATCCAGCATGCTCATATGCGCCATCCTCCACCGATCTTCGACGGATGCTGTATAATCTATGCGCCATATCCAATAACAAACCACCAAGTATCGACCGGATCTTTCTGGGATGCAGCTCTATCTCTCCCGCGTCTCTGGCTCGCCGCGAACGTCTCGGAGAGTTACTGGACGCTTCGACCCAGGGTACATATCAAATTACTATCAAGCGTGCCGGGAGCGATGCTATCGACCCCCGGTCCGTGATTTGACATTGGAAATTACATCCGTTGTCCCATCCAGCTTGGGGCCACTGCACAGGCACATTTCAACACCTAGAAACAGCGAAACGCGAGCATCGGAAGCTCTGACATTGCTCCAGCTCATTTTATGCCAAGCCAGCGACATACGCAAACCCGTTCCAAGTTGCGCGTAGTGCATCCCCGCCGGAAAGCCGATACCCGTGGGCGCAATCGATTGCATCGCCTGCTCTCGATGACTGTGCGAATGGAAATACTTCAGGAAGTGTAAGCGATTCAGTGGCTCTCATCCTTTCCCATAATTTGACAGTCGAAGGCCATCCGCCGAGTATGCCATCGTATTTCGGGTGCATACAGCCTATAGGGTGGCTGTTACCTTTCACTGAAGAGGAAATCTGCAAACCAATCAAGTATGTCTACGACGTCGCGCAAGGTGAACAGCATACTTTACGACGCCTTACACATCGTAACCGCCATCCCAGGGATCCGTTCACCGGGCCTTTTTCCATTCAAATTCACAAGCCTTGACTCTCCATACTGGAACGCCGTATTCCTCGTGTGGGCCGGTCCACCTCATGAATGGAGGCAGCGGCTGGATCTTGGGAATTTCATGCAAAACTTGGAGGAGTCAAATTTGCCCCACAATCCCCAACATTCACTCGCGCACTAAAACGCCTACACTGCGTTTTCGCGGGGGTCGACGTCGCTTATCCAGACGCGAACTTCATGCACCCATCCGTAGCCAGTTTAGTCTGGTCGTACGATCAAGATCTTGCTCAATCCTATTGTGTGGTCTCGCATTCAAGCAGCTCGCATGGAGACTATCAAAGATCTTGGGACATGACTGGGGGGAAGCTCGGAAATAGTATCGTCAAGAGACGTTACTAGGAAAACGCTGCCAGAACAAACGGTCTTTCCCGAGAGGACGTGGCTGAAAGCTAGTTCAAGAACTGACCGTCAGCTAGGAGTGGCGGCCGTTCTGAGCGTGCGCACACGCGGTACAACTGTTTGCAAGCGCTGAGGCGCTGGCCTAGGGGCAATCCTAGCAGTCATGCGACCGATAGACAAAATGCCTACTTTGACGTTAATTGTCATAGGCAAACGGTGCGCCTCCTCCTGTCCTTCATCTCCGTGATTTTCATCCCCGCAGCCATCACGTGTTCTTTTCCGAAATACGCTTCTAGCTCGGGCCATACTCAGTCTTTTGATCTTCTCTCTAGTCTTGGTGACCGCGAAACCCGTCTCCGAAATGATGACTGCTTGCTCGGTCTCGTTGTCTCCGACCTTGCTGATCCAGCTTACCCGCACGAGTTGTATCTTCAGGCGGCGAGTCGCATTCCGCTGCTATGACCCAGTCTCTGTGTCTCAGTTTCAAGCCGCTGCATCCAGGAATTGCGCTGTCGTCTGCGGCAAACATCTCGATCGCTTCCCATAGATTGTCGAGCCTTCTCGGCGTGGAGAAATCGCTCGCCAGAATTTCAGAATCTGAGGTGTGCATATGCGAATGGCGGCCCTTGATCCTCGAGAAGGTTGCAGGAAATATTGTATGTCTTGTGTCATGGCTACGCTAAAGCAACGAGATCTGTCAGTATCCCCGCTCTCGTATTTTGTGAGTCTGCGGTTGCCATTGATCAGACGGCTTCGCGCTGATGCAGACATGTAGGCGCTGATGCCGCTTCCGCCGACGAATCCCGTTTCGATCATTCAAACTTGCCTGTGCGCGCGGTAGTGTCCACATCGATCACGACCAGGGGCTCCAGTCTCGATGATTCCAGTTCACAGGCAGGTCGGGCCCCGAATGCCGCTGAGTGGATGAGGAGATTGAAGGCGGCCTAAAAGGATATCCGAAGCCCGATGTGTTTTCTTTAGACTATGCGAAAAAGAACTGGAATCCGTTGATCATCGCCGAATTGATGGATCCGAAACCCCGCAACTTCCTTTCATGGCGTTTTAACAAATGACTACCCGCTCAGGGAAGCACCGATATGCCCATCTACGCACGAGCTGGGCAGCAGGAACGCACTAAGAGCACAGATCTAGACTCGAACGATTGCATGCTCTGATTCTTGCCCACCGTAATATCACACAGACGGAACTTAGCAACTGTTAGGGAGTGAAACAGAATTCCGCCGAGAGCGGGACGCCGAAATTGACGCGGACTGTGTTTCGGCGGCTTTCCAAAACACACAAGCAGCGAGATACCCCGGCAAATGCTGGTCATGCGCGGGGAGTAACCCCGCCAGCTATCAACGCTCCGCAGCTGACGGCACAGCAGTTGCCAGTGTCATCGAAGTGCGGAAGAGCGGAGTCGGCAAGGGCTTGTGTGTGGACACGCGCTTGAATTGAAGATCCCAGCCCAGCCAAGTGGTGATCAGCCGGTGCCCGCAAGCCGGAACGCTGCCATCTGTTTCCATATGACTTGGGCAGCTGTGCGCACCCGAGTTACCGCGCAGAATCAAAACAAATGTGACACGGAGGTGCAGGCCCTGAACAGGCCTGGGATATGGCAGCATGATGCATGTGCGGAGACTGCGACCTCTGAACACTTGTCTTGGCCGGATGCACTCACCTGCCCTTGGCTCGGCCGTTCTAGGAGACAAGGGACAGGAATATAAAACATGGAGCGATCGTGCCTGTGGATTCAGACAAGGAGGGGTTCAGCGCTTTTTGCGGACACACGGGTTGCCAAATTTGGCGACGTCACGGTGGCGATCAGGTGTGAACCAACAGGAACTCCCGGAACCATCACCATGAAAGTATGCAATCCGGCTATAAGCTCGCGGGCGGACACTCCCAGACACATTTATAAATCTCCCGTCCGGCTTATCCCCTGCCTCTTGCCTTCCATCCACCATGAACACACTGGACTACCTTTCTGCCTCTGATCTCTCCCTGCGGTCTTTCATCTCTCCTGACGGCCCTGTGGCCAAGTGCAGGCCACTTCTCTCTTCTGCTGAGCCCTGGAACACTCTGTTCGTGCCCTACGGGTCATTTTTCCATGGCCGTGCGTGCCCTCTGGCCTTATCTCGGATGTGTCCCGGCTGATGCCAGCTCCACAGTACCACCCTCACCAACAGACACCTGCGCGTCATTCACATCGACGTCGACGTCGACCTCTGCCACTCCACCTCTCCCGGCGACACACGTCATCTGCAACGCGCCACTTGTCGCGCCGGTTCCTCTACCGTATCACAGCCCCACGTTCCTGCAATTTGAGGAGCTCCCCGACATCGACGAGGATCTGTCGCATCCCCCATACGTGTCGCGTCCGACGACGAGATCTCGGAAGCGCAAGCAGATGTCCTCGGAGCGTGAGGAAGTCTACGGATCTCGACAGCAGAAGCGTCGCACTGTGGTACCGGAAACATCGTATCGTGTGCACACAGTCCAAAGCGGCCCCCGGACGCGGCACTCCACACGAGCGGTGCCGTATCAGCTGGGTCGCTGACTGGACCCTTGCGGCGGTACACGCTGGTCTGGTGTGTAACTGCATCCTGCCTGCTGCAGCACTTTTTCCTAATTCGGATCCCCCAGAGTCGGCACCTTCGCGCATGCCCTTGTGATATGAAGAACTCCGCGAGAAGCGCGGGTGCATCTGCTCTGCTGGGACGCTTCGTCGGACTCACTCCTTATCATGCATGAGCCAGCCGACGTGTCTTGTCCGGCTTAATCGTGCTCCAAGCTCCTGAAGGCCTCACGTCCATCTGTCAGGGAGCCATTGTTCGACTTCTCCTGTCCCGTTTGAGCATTCTCCTGCGTGTAATCCGCGACATGGAGTAGCACATTGCACAAGACAAGTAATGGCCTGGGCACGTCACTGCTGATGAGGCGGCTATAGATTCAAGTCAATTGTTGTATTTCACTCATTCGGATATGTACTTATTCGGCATTGCTCTGGCCCGTAATGCACGATGTAGCGCACTTAGCGCGCACACAATCCAGCCTATCCCTTGAGCATGCCAAGTACCACGCAACCTTGGTGTCGCGGAAGCTTCGGGGTTTTGCCGCAGGTCAGTTCAGATAGCGTGGCCCGTCGCACATCGCCGGGGCGAGCCGAAAATTGGATCGAAATAGGTTTCGAACAGGTTGACCTCATAATTGTTCATGAAAACGAATTTCACGTGACTGCGCTTCATGTGACTGGATTCGTCAGGTGACAAAGCATTTATCGCGACCTGATAACCAGATAAATCACTGAATCACAAAATCATCAAGTCATGTTGGGATTCTGGCCGAGAGCAGTCGTTGGATCTTACAACGAGGGTGAAAAACTAAAGATCGATGCGCATTGAAGGAGTGCTTGAAACTCCGCGTCTCGCTGACAATCTCGATGGCTTGGTGGATCTGGGACATATTGTCCTGGAATGAAACATCGAATCGGGAAAGAAAGTACACACCACTGAGCTACCAGATTCGTTCACGGATGCACTTTCAAGCGGCAAGGCTCTCGGAGGCTATCTGTGCTGCTCAACGTAAAAAGGCCGTTCCGCAAGAATAGACCCCAGTTCCGAAGTAACGGTTGTCGATCATCACAGCACCAGAAGGGACGAGCCAATCCATGGGTTCATGGCATCGCCTCAACAGGCTACCTGGACGTAACGTCTCCTAGACCATGTTCTTCCAACCAGTGTCGGACATCTTTCTTTCCCAGAAGTCGCTTCTCTATCCCCGCAGACGCCCTTCCGTCTCCGAGACGATACAGTCTCATTATAGTCCCCGCCACAGCCCACAAGTCTTCCTCCGGTGCGTCAAAGAGGACCCACCAATCGTCGGGGAGGGCCCGCGAAAGATCCCGGGTCGCAAGCAGCACGGCGGCACTGGTGATTGTCGGTACCGGATATAGGGCATAGACTGGCGTTTGCAGACTAGAATTTCCGGCGGGTCTGTTTAGACAACAGTCGTTGAACAGAAAAACACTCACGCATCGTTCAGGTATCCCCAGGCCTTAGAGCATGTCTCCCCATCGTCAGCAAGCCCCAGCACACGCAAGTAATTGATCAATGTTCCGTATGGCAAGACGACATGTACGTTGAATCCCAAACGCTTCAGGATCTGCATCTCGGCAACGACCAGAGCGTCCTTGAGCTCATAGAACGTGGACCCAAAGTACGACATTGGGGCATACTTGAATGGACCTGGGCCAGAGTGTCTTGCGCGTTGTAGAAGTACGTCGTACACATTTATAAGATCCCGCATTCGGATAGGACATTCTTCGAGTTTGGAGGCCAGATATAACGCGCCCATTCCCGTATCTCCGATGCCAAAGTGCTTCATGGAGCTCACGAACCAGAAGCGTTGGAAGAGAATCTGCGCAGCGGCCACAGCGACTTGCTTCCTGGAAAACTTGTCGATTTCGCCAAGTTTGAGGCGCACATCTTGTTAACGCACTGCTTCAAGAGGATCCCAGCTTCATGAATAAGTTTGCAGCCATATGCGCGCAGTTGCTCTTCCAAGTCTTCAGGGACCCCGTCTTTTTTAGAGGGCGTGCTTTCAATTTGTGCAAGTGAGGCGAGAGGATATATTGAGGACATGGAGGTAGGCTGTAGCTGAATTAGTTGTTTGTCATAGTTGTGACCACAGCACATTTTGTCTTCCCCCTCGTACATCATGCAGGAAGACCATACTCCACGTCGACTACTTGATCGTCTTGAACGTCCCCCTCGCCCTGCGCCAGCTCACCACGACACTTACAGACCCAGCTCTGACTCCTACCACCCCAGTTATGACTACCGCGACCGACGACCAGATTTTCGAGATCGAGAGCGCGAAAGAGATCGTGACATGCGCGACCGAGACAGGGACAGAGACAGAGCTTGGTCGGATCGACGTCCACCACTGCGCCGCTCGCCCGAACCGTTCGAGCGTGATAGACGACCGCCGCCCTATTACGATGGACGGGACAGGGACCGGGACAGGGATAGGGACAGATACGAACGAGAGCGATATGCAGACACATACAGACCAGATCCAAGATCAAGTTCTCGCTGGGAAGACCGCGACCGCAGACCTCCATCCCCAAGAGGTGCGAAACTGTGCCAGCTGTTCATGACCCTGGGTTAATTTTCGACATTTTATCAGATAGATACGGACGCTCCCCTCCCAGAAGACGACTCACTCCGCCCCGAATTCCTCACAGTCCTCGTTATCGCAGTCGAAGCCGCAGTCGCAGTCGCAGCCCACCTTCGAAACGCATCCGACTCGGCATTCACGCCATCGAGTCACCGAGTTTGGGATCGCCTTCAAGACGAGGGAGACCGATTCCCCCAGTCTCCGTACGAGGAGAGACACAGAGCGCACCTCGATCTCGTGCGACCAGTCCCTCATCTCGTGCCAAGCCAGGGGACGATGAGGATGAGCCAGGGATGATAATCGAACATCCCGACACCACTCCACAGGGCGCATCCCATTCCCTGGATCCTGTAGTCTCGGTTGCAACTGTATCTCCATCAAAAAACACCACTCCAGCGGTTATGGAGGTACTATCTGGTGCTGCTCCCATCGGGCTACCGGTTCCTGCTGCTGGGAGCATGGAAAGTCTTGTTGATGTTGCGATGCCTTCCGTCAAAGTGGAGGCGGCCCAAACCAAAGATGATGCTCGCCAGCCTGCGATGCCCGACGAAAAGACAATTCTTCCTGCACGCCCATCATCTCCGCCTCGCCAGCCAAGAGCATTTTCTCCACCCCGGCAGCCACGAGCGTCCTTGGATAGCCTTCGAATAGGCTCTCCGCCGAGACAGCCTCGAGCAGCTTACGAAGGTCTTCCAACACAACCACGAGCTCGATCTCCCCCTCGACAGCCAAGAGGACGGGCCGCATGGGCCGCGCCATCTTCTTTCAATGCAGCGCCAGCAGTGTTACCTAGCGCACCCTCAGCGCCACCGATCAATCCTCCAATGCCCACAACATTGCCCGCGGCACGCTCGCCACCACGAGGTCCCCGAATCGATCGCGAACGGAGCGGGATGATTCCCCCGTCTGGTCCCCGCGACTGGAACAACGGGAACGTAGGGCCGTCTCGCATAGCAAATACTCGTGCGGTCAAACCAGATCGGGCTGAGATAGTCGCCGGAACTATCAGCGCCGCCGGGCCAATGGATGCCCTGGGCCAATTGGCAGCCGTGGCTGAAGTCGAGCGATTGGAGCGAGAAAGACAGGTCAAAGAAGCGGAACAGAAGGAGAAGGAAGAACGAGAAAAGAGCGAGAAGGAACAAGCGGAACGGGTGCGCAGAGAATTGGAAGACGTGCCTGTCCCGAAGATACCGGTATGGGCGGGCAAGGAACAGACTGGTGCTCAGGAGCGGATAGATGTGGGAACCATTCCATCCCGATTGTCCTCTGTCTGACTCTTCCGTAGTGGCAAAACGCTCTTGCCGCATCCCGAGCCCATCGAACACATCTCAAAACACAATTTACGTCGATTGAGTCCACGACGAGACGGGCCTTGCAGGAGTTGGAGGTCGCTGCGCTGGAACTACATTCTGTCGGCGAGCGCAGGAAAGTCAGCAGTCTTCAGATGGAGCTTGCCAAAGCAGGAACTCTGGGCATTGAATACGTCCCAGATTTGCATCCGTCCAGTTTGAGTTTCTCGCGTGAATACTTATAGCAGTGTCGCACATAATGTAGTTTAGTACATCGCTGTTGTACTTTTTATTCGTTCTTTGGCATCGGCGAGCATTCCATGTGTGTCAGTGTCGGGTCCATCGGTAATGCACAGAAGAAACCTCGGTCTTGCATCGCTGCGAACAGTCGGGTCGAGTGCATCTGCACCTGTTGGACATTAGAGCTTGATTCAGCTTGACGGGTTCATGAACGCACTGTTATGCAGTCTCTCTGTTTCTGTGGATCCGTCTGCGCTCGACAAAGCTCTGACACTGGAGCACCCCGTTCGCTGTCGAAAGTATACCGTCCTTCTGGGGCTTTCTATGCACGCTTCAGTCATGCGAAGGGATCCTCTGATGACTGCGACGCACAGAGACGAAATCCTTCACAGCTACTTCAGCATCAGGTTCTTGGCCGTCTGAACGGGCTTTTCCTCTCGAGAATATGGTGGTCGATGACATTGTGGACGGGTGGAGACCACAGATGACGTCATCGGTGATCCCATTCACGCCCATGTGATCGCGTTATCTTGCCATCAAATTACCATTTTCGCCAATGACCGTGCTCGACCCTTAGGGTTGAGCAGGCCCTGGGAAGAGAAGCACTTGAGGGGGTAGATAATAGTTCGAAATTGAACACGCAGTCTCATCCCTTTCTCAGCTACCACTGCATTTCTCGTCGTTCCCCCCCATGTCTCCGCTCAAAGGTGCAGAAATTTCCGATCGACGACAGCGCGTCAACGCTGATCGTATAAGCACAGATAAATCCGATCGCATCTATCGCTCCGGGCTCATTGATAAGGCTTGCGGAACACTCCATGAGCGCATCGTGAACGAGTTCGACCGCGAGCCCGGCTGGGACGCGACCGCTGCAAAGGTACGTTGGGGAACGCGGGTGATGAATTCGTCTAAACGCTGTAGTAGGAGAGGTACCGTGCGGTTGGGAGGAGACATTGGAGAACTAGCCGTGTTCTTTCAACTCAGCCGGAGGCAATGAAAGCCATCAGGAATGAGGTAGGTCTCCTCGAAAATATGGGTCATGGCAGTAGCGACTGAAGGGGCTCAGCTGCGGACCCATTTTCGAGAGTTCAGAGACCGCACTGAGATCCGACTGGATCTGATCATAAAATATCTAAAGATCGTGTTCAACGAGCAGCGTCGTAAGATGAACCGAGCGGCAAAGAAGCAATCCACTCAGCAATCCAGTCAGCAAAACTGGATAAAGAGCCTGAAACTGAAGCAAATTTACTAGTAGTCATGCGAAGGGATTGATCAAATTCAGATAATTCTACTGTTTCCATGGGAGAATTCCATCCAGCATACTTCTTTCCTGAATATCTTTACTACGGCCTCTGATAGCCCAAATGCCCCAGTTTGCCTTGATCATGACCCGCGGGTCGAAATCGGCAATCTCCCACTTTTCGCTGCCAAACGGATTGGGGCCAGGAGTAATGACCCACTCGAACTGGCCAGCAACGTCCGGCGCCTCCGAAAGCGACCGCACGTCACGCTCAATGTCGGTAGGAGAGAACCCAGTCACGAAGATCGGGCATTTTGACTCGAGCAGAGCAGGCAGCACGGGCCCCCATTCGGTGGGAGAGGCGATCTGCGGGAGCGGTGTCACCCCATCCTCCGCAAAGGACTTTTCTGACGGAAATCCGAAGCCTGGCGAAAAGAAGAAGAACACGTCGCTGTACGGATCGAGCGTTTCCGAGAAGTGGTGGTGCACGTCAATGTAGTTCGTCCGCAGGCCGGAGACGGTCAGCTCCTTCGTATATGGAGTTGTGTACGATGGAACCCCATATCGGCTGACCGAGTTGCGAGTGTACTTTTGGCGGTCAATGGGCATCGGAGCGGGTGGTCTATAGATGTTCGGGGTATAGTCCGATCGCTGCTGGAGCTCCTGGAGCTTGTTCAGCTTGACGGGAACAGCCGAGGTCTGGGAAGAGTCAGATCCAGATGGCATCTCCGTCGTGGAATCTTTCGCAATTGGTTCGGCGGTGTTGCCAGACTGAGATTGATTCGGAGGAGCCGGGGTGTCTGGTTTGGGTAGCGAGACTTGCGGGCCGATGAAAAGGAGATGTAGTTGAGCAGCGGGGAAGAGGAGACAAAGTTGCTCCCAAACATGGACGGGAAGCGACGACTCAGCTCGCGCTCCCAGAATGAACACCCGGACTTGAGGTTTTCCAACTTGAGCTTCGGGCGTTTCAGGAGCTCCAAGGGGAACATGAAGAGTCGACCGGATAGCTAGTGAGCGACAGCATGAGTTGCGGAAGCGACAATCGAGTGGGATGCAAGCCGTACCTGCCAAGGACCGACTACCCTCCGGGGTTACTCTCTGGTTGCTTGTCATGAGCGGGCTAAACTGGTGCAGAGCACCGCCAATGGTGATCGGGTAAGTCAACAGTTTACTGGCATGTCGCCGTGACCGCTCCGTGTCCATCGACATAAACCCACGGGTATACCAAAAGATATCCCAGTTTGAGAACGAGATAGCTTCTTCGTAGCCCTGTGGACCTGAACACGGTCTAGCGCGAGCGTAGAAGTACATAACCTCGCGTACCCGGCAGTTCAAATTCAGTCATTCTCCGTCCACTCCGAAGGTCATGTTCGTCCTCATTCGCCTCCCGTAGCCGCATGCAGTACTTTTTATGCTCCTCGTCCTGCTGCCAGTGCTCCTCCGAACAGTGCGTAGGCCAGCCGCAATCCGGACATTCATACGAAACGTTCTGCGGCTCCGTCGCGTGGGGGTGTCCATGCTCATGCGAAGACGTGCAGACAGGACACGGAGCAAGATTTTTGATGGCTTCTCCTCGGGCGCGCAGCATAGGGAACGGGGACTTGGAAAATGGATGGAAGAGATTATCCTCGGTCAAAAGCGGGACGTGCTGCTCCCGTTCGGCCGGTTTGGCGGTCTTGCGAAAGAAGGAGAAGAAAGAGCGCCTCGAGGACGGACATGGTCGAGTGATGAAGCGAGAGTATAGTGGTGCGCCGAGCGCGACCTGCAAACGCGCACGGCGTGCTAGGAAGCAGGTCATGATCAAGCAAAATGAGCGGTGTCGTGACCACACTAGATCTGGCTTCCATTTTCCCGCGCCCGAGTCAGATCTCCGCCCTCGTCCTTACCGTCATGTCGCGCACCGCTAATATCTCCCGGAAAACCAGCGAAACATCCATTGAATGTTTCCTGGACTTGGACTGCGCTCCAGGCTCGGGAGTCAAACAAACGATCGAGGTCTCGACAGGAATCGGGTTTTTGGACCATGTACGTCTTCAATGACCATGCCGCTAGAAGCCTTCTATACAGCTCATTCAAGATGTATACTGCCCTGGCTAAGCATGGTGGGATGTCGCTCACCATGAAATGCAAGGGCGATCTCTGGATTGACGACCACCACACGGCAGATAAGTCGACGTATCCTGTGCAGCACACCTATTCTAACACCTCGAAGCACAGGACAGCGCGATCGCTCTCGGAACTGCTTTCAAGGAGGCCCTAGGGGAAGTCCGTGGCATCCGCCGCTACGGTACCGGCTTTGCTCCTCTGGATGAGGTACCCATTCCACAACTGGTCGCATATGTTCCATCTGAATCTCTAAAAGGCCCTCTCTCGTGCTGTCATCGACATCTGTTCGAGGCCGTACTGTGTGACTGATCTTGGGCTCAAGAGGGAGAAAATCGGCGACCTTTCAACGGAGATGATCCCTCACATCTTCTACTCCTTCGCCATCGCGTCGGGCGTGACATTGCACGTCGATGTCTTGCGCGGAGAGAACGACCATCATCGGTAAGCCACTCGTTGGTCAGATTATGAGTATACTCAGTCGGATTCCCCAGTTCTGAATCTGCTTTCAAAGCTCTCGCGCTTGCCATCCGACAAGCGATCGAGAAAACGGGCAGTAACGATGTGCCGAGCACCAAGGGTGTGCTATAAGTCTCGTGTAGAATACAATATCCGGAAATTCGATTCCTTTAATTTATCGGCTACGACTACGACCAAAACAGACACTGTTTCTCAGGAGGAGGATTCAACTTGGAACCTTTGGGGCAGTTGAATGCCGCGGCAAATTCAGGGGTGTTGTAGAGAGTTCCCTCGACACGGAAGATGTTGGGGGAATGGGGATCGGTTCTGACCCGTTGGAGTTGAGCAGCGATCTTCATGTTGTTTGACCAGATCCGCCCAAATGCAATGAAGAACATTTGCTCTCTGGACTCTTTGTTAGGCTGGATCGGATTCGGGAAAGATGATCGCTTACCGGGTGTACTTGAGCCCTGGAAGAAGGAACTCGTTCCCGGCCGCGTACGATTCTTCGTATTGCGCTTTCCAAGCTCGGTAGGCTTGTATGAGACCACTGTCACCAATATTTTCACCTGACGTCCTGTGGATGCCGGTCAGCGAATTAAATCAGCGTCAAATGTCGAACGTACAAGTTTCCCTGGAGATCTATCAGCAGGCGTTATCAAAGTAAGATTATTGACACTCACGTTCACATGAACGACCCCTCCTTTCCCATCAGGAATAGTGTATGCTGAGCGAGAGTCAGTTACGAACCTCAAAGATGGCGGAGGACTAACCGGAATACTGAGTTTCAATGCACTCTTGCTTGAGGTTGAAGCCGGCATTGCTAGCATTCGTCCACCAGTTCTCCAGCTTTCCATCTTGGTTATACAGACGACCAGCCGAGTCAAAAGCGTGCTATAGCAGAACAGTCGGTAACTTCTCCGTCCAAAAGCTGCAGATCATACCGTGAGCTCATGTGCAGCTACTTGACCAAATGCACCATAGGACAGATACGACGGCCTAGAGCAACGCATTGAGCAAGCCCACAAAAAGACAAGGGAGAGTGATCTACCAATCGCGGGAGAAGAAAGGAGGCTGGAGAATGCCTGCAGGGAAGACAATCTAGAGCTAGAATTGAGCACAAACGTGGGCCATGATAGGGTAGGACCGGACCTCGTTGCTAGGAGGGTTGAAGTAAGCATTGACCATGGAGGGGAACATTTCCCACTCCAGATCGTTGCGGACTTTTCCGACCTTCTGCCATTGCTTGTACACGTCGCTCGCACTAACCTCATCATCAGATAGATGATGCGAATTGATAGCCGGAACTCACGTGGCTGAGAGCATATTGCCGAAGTAGTCACGCTCATCAATGTTGACGATTCCATAGTAAGCCAGAAGCGAGCTCGGATTCAAGGTGTTCGGATAGGCGGGGTACCCAACCTTGACCTTGATAGCATCAGCCTATGCCGGACAGGTGAGTGGCGATTTTGTAGATATGGAAGAATGAGCGAAACCTTCTCAGCAGCAGCTTCGGCTGAAGGTTCGTCCAACCAAGAAACATTGGGCAAAGACTCTTTGAAGCTTTCGATGATGTCTGTCAAGTGTCAGAGCACATCCCCTTTGTCTTCCTTCGCAAGGCTACCTGTTATGATCTTGGCCGCCTTCTCTTGCGAATCACCACCGAAAGTCTCGTTCACAAAGTAGCGGCCGGCCGCAAAACCTAGCGCGCCTTCGAGCTTGCCAATACAGTACTCCGCCCGGTCACCGACTGCGCCTTTCTTGATGCCAGTCAATGTCTCAAGAAGAGTGCGCTGCGCCTGCCAGGCCTCAGTGGCCATCCCCAGATTCGGAGCCAGATTGAGGGCTGCGCGGACAATTAGATAAGACTCGATGACTTCTGAATCAGTGGCGGCCAGAATCTCCGAAAGGTCTGAAGCATATTTAGGCGATGCAACCACCACGTTTTCGGGAAAGTTCCGAGGAGTGAACGTGGCGAAGTACTCGTTGAAGTTGACTTGAGGTAGTGATTCGGAGAGATTGGAGAGCGGAACGCGGTTATAAACGAAGAAGGGGTCCTGGTATAGGTCGCTGTTAGGAATGTTGAATGAGAATGAAAGTTCACTCAGAGAGCAGCCCACTCACCCATCGAGGGAAGCATTTGCAATCTTGGTTTCAAACGCGATAACCTTCTTTGCCATCTGGTGTGCGATATCTGAACGGTTGGGCTTCTTCTCCTCGGGCTCGTCATCCCATGGGGGCCAGGGCCAAGATGGCCAAGGTGCATTCTCAACGAGGACGGATGATCGCAACGCTTGTAGCTTTTCCTCCTCTTCAGAGAGAGTGAAGAGCAGGCGCTCGACCACACTCTGGTATACTTCCACAATGGACTCTTCTTCATAGTACTCCTTGGACGGAAGACCCAGATCAGCTTGGTCAAACTGGGGTACCATGAAATTGGGGTCGACCCCGACATCGCCTTCAATTTCGAAGGCGAAGAAAGATGAGATACCTAGAGTGTGTTCAGCTTAGGAACACTAGACTGTCGCTTTTGCACTGGCCTCGTGTATGCAAGAAAGCCAATGCAGCAGTGAGCCCGTTCTTCAACCCATCTTGCGTGGTCTCGAGGCTGTCTCCACGATACAAACTCTGCAGCGTCTTGGCGAAATGAATCAGAGGCGCAGTGCCAAGGTCATCGAGCAGGTTCTCATTTAAGCAAGAGTCGTAGAACCCGCGCAACTTCTGCAGCAGCTTCTCGTCGTCTGTGGAGGTAAACGCCGCCGTTGCTCCGGGTCGCTCGAGAAGGTCCTGCAGGATGCGCTTGTTGGCTTGACCGAGACTCTCGAATTGTCCGACGCTGCCCTTGTCTGCTGGAAGCGGGTGCGCAGATATCCATCCTCCACCGGTGAACCGGAAAAAATCCTCGCAGGGATCTTGAGACTGATCCATAGAAGACATGATAGCAGCCGAAAGCTCGATACATGCCGGAGTAAGACAGACAGCCTATTCAAACGGTCATTTCAACCCGAAGTCAGGAACACACGGCATTACCTCTGCAGGAGGAGAAGTAGGCCCCGGAGGAGAGGCAGTAGCAGTCACGGTTTGAGTGGAAGTCGCAGTGACGGTGAACGTAGACTGAGGCTCATCCACATGTCTCTGCAGCTTAGTGTATTCTCCCAAGAATAATCCCAGGAACACTGAGCACAAGAGAAGAAGGACGAGCGCCAGGACGAGGAGAACTTGGTTGAGAGGAGTCAGCGGCTCTTGCGCAAGCGCGCTGACCCGCTCAGCAAAGGTCGGCGAGGGCTCGCTCTCACTTCCGGCGTCTTCATCGTCATTTCTCAGGAGGGGCGCAGCCTCTGCAAGTCGTGTGAGTGCCTGAACAAAGTTGAGGGCCGCCAAATTGACCTTGGTCCGAATATCGGTCGGTCATGGTTTGAGGAAGAGCTTGCGCGTATGCAACAAAACAGTGACGCAATAGACACGGCCTCAAGGCCTGAAGTCGTGCTCAGTGGAGGAGAGGGAGAGATACAGCAGGCAAGTAACAAGCCTCGATGAACACGCGTGAACGTGATGACTGATCTAGCTAATCCGCTACGCCGCGGCAACCGAATTGGCTTTGACCGAAAGATTATGACCCAATAGACATTCTCAAATCGTTGGTAGAGTGCGGGAATGCATGGGCGGAAAGAAAATCATGCAGAATGATGCGATATGAATCATAAACCCAATAGTAGAGACAGTAAGATAGGTGAGTAACGTAACGAGAGACCATAGGCGAATATAGACAGCGTAGATATTGAGTAGGAAATTACATCCGGTTTGATACAGGAGGGTCAAAAATTTACATGCAGCGTGTTAGCGGCTAAAAACACATTGGTTTGGGAATCAATGCTTCTCAGACTAAAGAGATTCTTCAGGGGAAGGCAGTGGGAGCGGAATGGCAGCCGGAGAGAGGGAGATCGGAGAGACCGAGCCCGGGGATAACTGGTCTGCATAAGAAGATTGCCGCTGGAATGGGTTACGAGTGTTCATGCGTGAAATTGGCGAGGCTGAAATGATGCGTGAGAAATAGGACACAAGTAGATGGTCACATACATAAAACATTGGAAGCAAACCAGCGCACAGGAATGGTATTCATGTCATAGTCGTCGAATGTCTCTCCGTCCGGCGTGGACATGTTACGGCTGGATTGAGTGGAACGCGCGATGTCAAGGTCGTCGCTCAAATCCTGGAGCAGGGCCCGGCCCTTGCGTGAGTATGGGCGTTCCTGATGAAGAGCCGGCAGAGAAACGGCTGGATGACGCCGAGTGAGGAGCACAGGCGAGGAAGGCGGAAAGAAGGACGGTCGGAGGATGGAAAGGAACTCTTCGAGGGCTTCCGTTGGAAGCGACCTGGGACATTAAGTCAGTCGACTAGCAGGCTTCACGGCTGGAAGAAAGCCTAAACTTCAGATACTGACCTCGGGGACGAACGAGCAGACGGGGAAGATAATTCTTTATCAGAGTCACTGAGAGAGATGACAGGAGTTTTACGATCATCGGCTGCGTCTGAGATATCTTCCGAAACACGAGCACGTTCGAAAAGATCCGGTCCCGACAAGATTCGGTTACGGGCAAGAAGGGTATTGAACCGAATGGGCCGTGGAGCGACGAGGACTGGGTTGTCGGAGGGCATTAATTCAAGAGATTGGTAAACAAAGAAACGAAGATTGTGTGGATGGATTGATATAAAAGTAGATTGCGGATATGGAGTGGTTGAGCAGTGGCGCGTTGTGACGGCTGGAGACAAGGAACGAGCTGTTTGGATGAGTTTACAAGCTTAGTTAGCCTGACTTCAATCACTTCACCTCGGCTGAGTTCGGCAAAGTCATATATGTTCCTCCATGTTGTGCACCCCCCTTCTCTGACTTCGTCTAATGGCTGGACAGTTTACCAACACCTCGGAAGACTGTTGATGATCTCCGGATCTTTTCACCTTCGACGGCTTGCGGAGATTGAATCGGTCTTCCAGCATTTACGAGATGGGATAGAGTGAAGCGTTATAAGAGGCCGCCTCGGTCCACCTCTCCCCCACTGCTGTCCTAATGCCCCCATCATCCGACGAGACGACTCCTCTCTTGACTGATGGTTCTTCTCTCGAGGAGCAGAGGGAAAGCAAGGCAGCAGCAACACCAATCCCCAGGGCACAATTGGCCGCATTGTGTGTCGCCAGGCTGACCGATCCTATTGCATACTGTCAGATTTTCCCTTACATCAACGCGCTCCTGGTCTCTCTCCATGTCACCGATGATATCTCGAAGATTGGGTTCTATTCTGGCCTCGTTGTGCGTACTCGTGGCTTCTATCATCGATATCGTTGACCTCCGAGGGCAGGAGTCGACCTTTGCGGTGACACAGTCACTGACGTGTTATTACTGGGCCACTCTCTCTGATAAAGTAGGACGCCGACCCATCGTTCTCATCGGGTCGACGGGCCTTGCAATCTCGATCTTGTTATTTGGCTTCGCGACCTCACTAACTCAGATAATTGCCGTTCGGGCTCTTGGTGGGCAATAATCACTCAGATTGCAGTCATCGGTTGATTGCGTCTGACAGCTGGCTTTTTCGGTGGTAATCTCGCCGTCTACCATTCTATCTTGGCCGAAATCACGGACATCAGTAATCAGGCAGTCGCGTACCCACTCTATTCGTTCACTTGGCCACTGGGTCTGTGCTTGTTCTCTGCTTCTAATCGAATTTGGAACTCTCTTGTCAGGTGCTACACTGGGACCGTTGTTGGGATCGCAGCTGTCAAATCTTGGCACCAAGTATCCGGCCTATTGGGGCTACGATTTCATCATAGAGCGTCCTTACTTGATGCCCAATGTCGCCACTTCGCTGGTCGTTGTCACCGGTGTCTTTCTGGCTTATCTGTTCCTAGAAGAGGTACTGCCTTGTGCCGATTTCACTTTGGCAGCCGTTTACGAAGTTTCCAGACACTGCCCAGCAAGCGGCCAGGTTTTTGTGTGCACGGTACATCGAACAGCGGCCAGTCTACCTCGGATTCACTGGGAGTCGGCGAACTGCTCGCAATCCCCATGATCCGGATACTAGCTTGCGCGGGATTCATGCTGGCGCTCATTAGCGGAGCATTCGATGTAGTATTCGTGCTGTTCTGCTATACCCCAATTGCACGCGGCGGGCTCTCATTTTCGGTAAATATCCTCAGATCCGACGCGTCTCTCGGCACTCATCCCATGCTACAGGTGGACGAAATCGGCTATGCTCTTGCCTTGAGCAGCATCATTCTTGCCCTGCTACAGCTATTCGTGATGCCCCATCTGCTGCGACTGTTTAGGCCAGTTGTTCTTTTGCATTTCACAATGTGGATGTGGCTGGTTCCCTTTGCGTTGATGCCGTGGATCCACATCATTGCAAAGAATGGATTGGCTGCAGGGACAGGATCTCAAGATCCTGAGAACTATGTTCGGATGTGGATCGCGGTGGCGATCATGCTCAGCACTTCCCGAATCGGAGCGCTGGGTTTTGCGTATGTTTCATGCTGCCGCCCTCTTTTCATGGCCACTGATGTGTTTTCGTCAGCGCCAACATGCTATTGGTCAAAGACCAAGCACCGAGCCCGAGCTCACTTGGTGCACTGAATGGAATGATCCAGGTTATCATGGGGCTATCACGGTGCTTCAGTCCGGTTTTTGTTAGGTCAGCATACGCAATACATGTTCCTGGCCTTTTACCAACGTCACACGCAGCTCTATCTACGCATTGTCAAGCCACAGCCAAGGCCCGTTCCCTCAATGGGTCCTCGTTATGTTTGTTCTATGTGGGGCAGGAGGTTGGATCTCGCGCAAACTGCTCGTCTTGGAAAGACAGAAGTAAAGCATTGCCGCACTGAGTAGTTACATACGCAATCTACACTTGCAGCATCAATACAGTCTATGGGTTCTAGGGACTCCATGGTGATGTCGCCAGTCCTCCAATCCCCGCAGTGAGGAACACGGGTTGTCCGTTTTCGCCGACGTAAAAGCAGTCCTCGAGTCTCACACCGACCTGAACGATTTTTGAGTGAGAGGATAATGAATTTCTCGTCAGACACACCTTTCCCACAATGTAGATTCCTGCAGAATGGGCAATGAACTTCATGTGCAGAGTCGCTGGAACGACGGCGCTCACCTGGCTCATCGGAAAATGCATGGCCGATCTCCAAGATGCTCTTGCTTCCTCCATTCAAGTATGGCTCCTCGTGCGTCTCAAGCCCGATGCCGTGGCCGAGCCGATGCGTGAAATATTTACTGGCATTAAGTGCAACTCGCGCGGCTTTGTCGATCTCGGCCGCGATCACGCCTTCCCCAGCAGTCGCAAAAGCGGTCTTCTGAGCGTGAAGGACGTTGCCCCAGATCTCCAGATGATCTTGCGGGATCTTGGAATGCGGAAGAGCGACTGTCTAGGAGACGGAGGAGTCACGAGCCGTTCGTCGAGTTTTGCAAGGAGATTCACCCTCGTCACATCGCTTTTATAGCCGTGGAGATCGCCCACACAATCAAATAGGGCAAAGTCGGATGGTCCCAAGGCGCGATCGGTTCCTGATCCATGAGGGAGCGCCGCGTTTTCTGCGTTACGTATTCAGTAAGTAGCGCCAGACCACCGAAACATGTGACCTGCCCCCGAAGAGTGTCAAGCAACCGCCATCCTTCAGGCCGGCTGCCGAGAGGGCTTCAGTCAACATAGAGGACGCAGTCGATTCGTGTATTCCGAAATACAGCTTCTTGTGCACCGCGCGGATAGCGAGGACCGTAGCCTGGCGAGCATCAGTTTCCGAACGACCGAGAAGCGAAGGACGGGGATAGGTACTTCGTTGGCGCACTTCATGAGCTCAAGCTCAGCGTCAGACTTTCGCTCACGCAAACGACGGATTTCGTAAGGGGCCGAGTGCACGTCGGAATCGGGATGCGCAGCTCGTAGGCCATCGACAATGAAAGTGCGGATGGACGCGTCAACGTAGATGCTCCCGGGCGTGTCGGAGAGCACGGCCAACGCATGCAGGTACGGATTCGCCTCTTCCGCCCAGGACACGAATGTGACGTCTGTTACACACATCAGTCCTGGTTACCACAATCAAACGGTAAGGGTGAAGATGAACCTGAGGACGGCAGAGGAAGCATTTTGGCGCGCGGCGCCTCGAATGCTGGAGTCAATACCGACAGCTTGCCTCGGACACGGCCGTCGACTTCCTCGGGTGTGACCAAAAGCAAGAGTGGCCGCTCTGACAAACCCCAGTTCGACTTGGAGATATTCCCGTAGAATAGACTGCTAGCACCCGGCTCTGCGACATACATCGATGCATTCAGGTCACGCAGAGTTTGTGCCAACGCATCTCGGCGTGCGAGGAACTCGTCGGCACCGATGGGGGACAAGTGCGCGCAGTGGTCGGCGATTTCTACGTCGCGGAGGCGAGCTGGAACGCGAACGTGACGCGGGGTTGATTGAAAGAAGTGTGTCAAGGCAAATAAGATGCAAAGAAGGAGGACCAGCGAGGCTCGAGCCTGAAGATTCCGTGAGATTAAGACACTGGAGTTGATACGGAGCGATCGACAACTCACCAGTTTGACCCAACGAGACCCAGCTTGAGTCGGAACAGCCCCAATAATGCCCTTATCCATGTCCTGCTATTCCCGACCACGAACGCACGAGGGGAAGAGAGATGGGACGGAGCTGGCAGGGACTCAGACTGAGATAGACTGCCGAGTCTGCCCCGGCGAATGATCGGCGTGATTGATAATCAGCTTGACCCGAACCACTCACCCTCATCATTCGCGCACATACAAAATGGAATCGCGCACGAGCGCAGGGTGCTCGCTTCGAAGACATCATTCTGCATATATCTAGGCATATATCTACAGGCAAAATTGTCTATTCTATACTGCAAATTCTTTCCTCCCATATTCTTGACACGTCCGTAGTCCCATAGTCCAATTGTTGCAATTTCTGCGCGTGTAATAACCTAGCAAGACCACGTGACTGGATCACGGAACGGGATCAAAGCTGGTGGAATGTTCCCGAGTCGAGAGTAGTAACGGGGGCATGTCGGTGTGCTTACACATGCCAGGCTCTGGCTCCAAAGTGTTGTACATGTATGAGGGAAAGGATAGAAGGTGAAATACACCAGGAACGAGGAGAAATGAACGCAAGAATGAAGAGAAAGAATGGATTGACTCAGGATGTCTGTACATACCTCAATTCTTGTCCAATCCCGCTCTAACTCCACAGTTCTCATTAACAAGTGCTATTGAAGGTCGATGTACGATACAAAGGTGAACGGAGAGAGAATGAACGAGTTTGAGAGGGTTGCGACTGCGCTCAACTTGCCATCAAATCGTGCGTAGAATTTGTTCGTGTTTTGTGTGCCTTCGCACCCTTAACTGATGATTGCTCGCTTCGCTCGCAATAAGTATGGATCCAGATATGGACACAGACACTCTCATCGCCATCACGGAGAGCCTCTTGAATGCAACGCACACGCGAGAAGATATTCTCAATGCACTTATTCGCTTCGAGGGAGATTCCGATGCAGCGGCGCAGCTTCTGAATCTCGAGTCTCAGACAGGCCCGAGTCGACAGAACCTCACAACCGGAAAGAAAAGGAAACGGGGAGACTTGGATGCTTGGCTCAAACCTCAGACTGCCGCGAAGAAGCGACAAGGGACCCCCCGCCGATCCTCAGAACCCGAGGCGTCTACCTCTCGACTCGTCCTCCGATCTGAAGCTCCATCACCGCGGCGCGAAACGAGGCCAGCTACAGACTTAATGTCTGTTTTGCGACAGCCTCCGAAAATTGAAAAGCCAATACTTAAACTGCCTCCTCTAACGTTGAGCACACCAAAGATGGTCGCTGAACACACTCCTTGTACACTACATCCTTCCATCCTGCCCCCAGAACTAGCGACGAAGCTGTTTTATTCAATGATCGACGCTTCACAACAGTGGAAACGCAACAAGTGGTGGTTGTTTGATAGAGTGGTCGAATCCCCGCATAAGACGTCTTTCTTTGCAAGGCGGACAAACGGTCTCAACGAAGACGCGTCCTGGCAAGAAGCAGCAAGATTCTGGTCTGTGTTTGCCCAGTCGCTGAGAGGACCTGCTTTTACATTTTCCAGGTATAACGGACGCATGACGGACGTCCCTCCGGTCTTTCCCCCAGAGATGGAGGAAGCCTGCCGCATCGTTGAGCGGGCTGTGAATGCAGAGATGTCGAAACGAACGCGTCACGCTCTGGAGTGGGTGGACCCGGATGGCAAGCCTAGCTGGCGGTCAAACGTTGCAGCATCCAACTGGTGGGCGGTTTCTTGCGCCTGTCGATGTGCGTTCGCTGAGACACCTCCAGCTATGAAGGTAACGCAGGGCTTCTCCAGCGTTGACGGACCTGATCTGATCACAACCTCCCCAGGCGGTAAGGAGAGCGTTGGGTGAGTTATCCTCTTTGTTGTCATTCGCATCTAATGCCTCTCTGAAGCTGGCACTCGGATCAGTTGACCTATCTCGGACCCTATGCAACTATTGTGTCGCAAAAATAATTGATTTGTTATTGTTCCTGAGCAGGACCAATAACAAGCGGTCAGACCATCAGGCTGACGGTTCCCCGATGCCAATGGAAAAGCTCGAATCAGTACTTATCAGACGCTGGTCAGGCAGCAGTCAGCAATCTATCATCTGGTTGTCAGTCCATGGTCGGGTGGGGGTTGGGAAGGGGCAAACAAAAATGGATTTTCTCACTGACCTCCTTGTTATTTCTTACCCCTCACAGCTTTCTGACTTCATTTCCTTCTTTCTTTCTTACTTACTTAGCTCATTAATGTTCTATGTGATTCAAGCTTGCCAGGATATGCAACTCAAGGTAGGAATTGAACTCAGGTGGCTTTCTCATTACTTGCTCCACAATCGGAGTGGGTACTTTACTACTAGTCTACGTGTGCATGTAGTGACAGGTGTGATTGTCGGGTAAGTGACATCGGAGAAACGACACAGCCACCTGGCGCACAATGACGCAGGCCACCATGACGGACTCCACTCAGTTCCTTCGAGCCCTAAACTCTGTACATCATGTCTGCTATTGATTTATTGGCTATCTCCTTAATTACCCAATATCAGATCTGAGAACATGCAATCAATTGCTGACATTGTCTGACAAGACACTGACCATGACTGACCAGGCCTGAGCAATCTGATCAGTGACCGACCGCTGCCTGATCACAACTTATCGCGCCTTGTCAGACCCTGATCAGTTTGTCAGGCCTGATAACAAATCAATTATTTTTGCGACATGGTGAGCCAGTTGACTTGACGTCGCTCATCCCTGACTCCCAAACCCAAGCCTCGCTGAGTTTGGGTGTGTATCGCCAACCGATGTATGAAAACATGAATTCACCGAGATCCAGGTACATGTAGATTGTTTGGATTACGGGAGGTAGTTCCTACTAACGAAGCGAATACCCGCAAAGCACGCACTTTCAACGTCCCTCTGCCACATAATTCAGCAAGTCATCGCATTCAGATCTCTTTGATGCTCTTACCATTCTCGCGCAGCTCGCTATCATGCATGCATCGTGTCAAGAATCGTTCAAACATTGCATTGTCCCTCAAACCGCAATTGACTTATTCCGCCCAACATATCCTCGATCGCCCGGAGAACCCATTGAGCCGTCTAAATGTCGAATCAACATCACGTTCCGGTTCTATCGGCCTGATTTTCGTCCCGAAAGTATACCGCATTGCAAGTGTGGCATCCCTACCATTCTTCGCACGGAAATGAAAAGTAGAGGTGTGGGAAAGTCCGATCGGTATTGGTGGACCTGTTATGCCGGGGCTCAGAATGACGGCAAAGGTTGCGACTTTTGGCGTTTGATGGATCTGGAAGCGGAGGGAAGAGGTCAAAAACCCAAGTCCAGATGATGGAATTGGCTGTGTGTGAACACAGGAGATTACTCATACAATATTATCACATGCTAACTACCCGCGTTGTTGCAAGCGTGTCGTGGAAAATCCTACTGATGATCCGGCTCGGATCGACGAACAGAGGGGCTTTCGCATCTACACGTGCGCAGAACATGACCGCACGTGCAAGCTCGCCCCTCGCAGGGGTGAGCGCAGCACCGAGCAAGCCGCCACGCAGTGCGTCATATCTCTTGCGCGTGACAATAGCTCGCTTGTTCATTTCTCCCTCGTCTGACTCTAAGTTCCTCCACAACGCACGAAATCACATGATGATGGTTCCATCAGACACCGGGTGCCGGAGTTTCCGAAATGGCTACTAGACGGCTGAGCGGATGTCACCGAACACATCGTCCGGCTTCTTACCACTTACTAGCATGTCTCCCTCCAATTATCTTGTCGAGGACGCTCTGGTGGCCCTGCCAGCCAAGATTCCATTTGAAAAGCAGTCTCTGCCTTTGCCTGGCACCAAACGTCCCGGCCAAACTGGTGTGTGTGTCGATCCCCGTTCCTTCCCCGCACGCTCAACGCGGTAAACACCAGCCCACTATGTCAATGGTATAGTTTCCCGGCTGGCTTTCGAATGTCAAATGGTGTTGCTTACCACGATCAGCCATGTGGGGTCTACTCGATCCTGCTGAGCATAGGCTGAAGACGGTGGCCGACATCTTTATCAGTGGGATGTCACTCGGGAAGGACCGGCCTTTGCTCGGGCACCGACCAGTTCTTTCGAAGAAGCCGCTGACGTTTGCAAATCGCTACGAGTGGCTCACCTACGGACAAGTCGATGTGCGGCGCAGGAACTTGGGTAGTGGTCTGTTGCAACTATTCAGCGACCCTGCATCCGGAGTCGGTGGTGGAGAGCTGGAGACGGTCGGGATTTGGTCAATCAACCGCCCCGGTGTGTATCTCTTATTCGCATCGCGGCGTTTGGCCTGACGGACACAGAATGGCAAATCGTTGACCTGGCTCTTATGAGCTACAAGAAGGTCAACGTTAGTTTGTACGATACTTTGGGCAAGGACTCTGTGGGCAAGTTCCTCAATCGCTTCAGATTCAGTCAATCGGCTGACCATCTTTTCAGAATTCATGTACATTCGCTGTTTGCTGCTCCCAAGGTCCATCTGACACGTCTCTAGCATCAACCACGCCCACCTCACCATCATATTCGCGACTCTGGATCACATCCCGGCTTTGCTAAAGCTGGCACCGAAGACTCCGCAGTTGAAAGTCGTGGTCAGCATGGATGTTCTGTCTGCTGACGTGCGACAAGTCTTCGGCGAGTGGGGGCAATCCGTCGGTGTTTCCGTTGTGGACATGGGAGACAGTACGTCCTGTGCCGTGATCTAGGTAACAACTCATTTCTGCAGTCGAGGCACTTGGCTTGGCTCACCTCTCTGAACCGATCCCCCCGTCACCGGAAGATATCGCGTCTATCTGCTACACGTCGGTTCGTGCATCTGGCTGTGTTATTACGTCCGTTGAATCTCGCTTCAGGGAACGACGAGCATGCCCAAAGGTGCTGTGCTGACCCATGGTCAATTGAGCAGCTCAGTCGTGACCAATCTGCTGGGTCTCAATATCCCATCGAACACCACCATGATGTCTTATCTTCCTCTGGCCCATATCTACGAAGTGCGTTCTTGTGTCTGTGACTATCCGGTGGCCTCACGAACTTTGAAGCGTGTCAACGAGCAAAACTGTATCGCCGTCGGTGGAAACATTGGGTTCTTCACGGGTGATCCCTTGCGCTTGATCGAAGACTGCCAGATCCTCAAGCCCGCTTTCTTCCCTGGGGTTCCGCGTGTTCTGAATCGAGTGTATCAATCGGCGATGGCTGCTGCCAACGTGCCCGGCTTCAAGGGCGACTTGTTTAGGAGAGCTATGGCCGCGAAATTGGAGAAGTTCCGCGCGACTGGAGACAACACGCACTTCTTCTGGGATAAGCTTGTCTTCCGCAAGGTCCGTCCCTTGAACTCTGTCCTCTTCGCTCCTAACACTTCAGCAGATTCAAGCCGTACTCGGAGGAAATATCCTCCTCGTCACCAGTGGCTCTGCCCCAATCAGCGGAGATGTCGTAGACTTCTTGAATGTGGCGTTTGGCTGCCAGATCATTGAAGGTATGTCGCAGTCTTGCGCTGCTTTCCAGAGATGCTCAAAGACAGCCAGGCTACGGGATGACGGAGACCTGTGCCGTGGCGACAAAAACATGGCCGGGAGACGCATCCGCTGGAGGCTCTGTCGGTCCCCCGCAATCAGCCAATCTCATCAAGCTGGTGGATGTCCCTGCTATGAACTACACGTCCGAAGACAAACCCAATCCCCGGGGTGAGATGTGTGTAAAGGGCATCAACACTTTCTTGCGCTATTACAAAGGTCAATCCAAGAGATGCGTGCTTGAATTAGAAGCTGACGATTCCACAGATGAGAAGAACACTGCGAGCACCATCGATTCGGAAGGCTGGTTGCACACCGGGGATGTCGCTGAAATCGACTCTTGCGGACGCTTCAGGATCATCGATAGGGTCAAGGTGCGCTGGTTTTCCCCGTTCTCTAAGGGTGTTTGATGCTCAAGGTCGGATGACAGAACATCATGAAACTGGCTCAAGGCGAATACGTCGCCCTCGAGAAGGTCGAAAACACGTACAGCACGGTTCCTGTAGTGGCTCAGCTCTACGTCCATGGAGACTCGCTGCAGTCCTTCCTGATCGGTGTGGTCGTCGCCGACCCGATTCAGCTCGCCCCTCTTGTTTCGAGGGTCCTGGACAAGAAGGTCGCTTCTGATGACCTGGTTGCCCTGTCCGCGGCCTGCAAGGACGAAGGGGTCGTTGCCAGCGTTTTGAATCTCCTTTCGAAAGAAGCCAAGAAGAATGCGCTCAAAGGGTGGGTTTCTCTTGTTTGGTTGAACGCGTAATGTGACTAAGCACATACAGATTCGAGACTGTGAAGCGCATCCACTTGACCTTGGACATGTTCACGGTTGAGGAGGGGACCATGACGCCAACGATGAAGCTTAGACGGAAAGATGCGTACAACAAATTCCAGACGGAACTAGATGCCTTATATGCTCTGGGAGAGCCGTCGTCCTCCAGCACAAAACTGTAGGGCTTGGCGTCAGGACTGTCGCATTGTGCATCGTGCGCTACACCGTCTGATGCTGTATCTAATAAACTAATGATATCCTGGATCATGCTACATTTGAGAATTGTGACTACTAGCAGAAAATACAATAAAGGAGGGCTGCCATAATGGGTGTGCTCAGGGTGCAGATAGAATGATCTGGGCATGTTGAGGGTGGCGAAAAAAAGACACGGAGAAGTACGGCTTACGCTCATGAATTGCTCGTAGTTGATTTGGATCCAACCGTCTCGGTCAGTGTCCGCTTTCTGGAACGCCTCAGTCAATGTCTTGACTACGACGCAGGCCCTGACGAAGCGGTCAAACGTTATGCCGGGAGGGGGGCCATAGCCAGTCGTGGGTACAGATGCTGTAGACGGTCCCGTTCAGATAACATTGGCGGATCAAGAGCAAGTCAGAACGCACAGTATTTGCGCTCGACGAGAGTCAGCAGGGTGGGCGACAGATTGTACCCGAAGCTCCGTAATGCCTGAGCCAGCTCCCCTCCCTCAATCGACCCAGATCCATCGCGATCGAAATGCCGGAAGACATTCTGCCAGTCCGATATGTACTTCCAGAGCCCGGTGAACTCTATGGGGGGTCGTGTTCAGCTTCGCCAAGCAACACAACCCGATCTAACCTTTAAAGTCAATCGTGCCGCTCCGATCCGTGTCAAAGATGCCCATGAGCATTTTCACAGTATCAAGATCGAATCCTAGCGAGAACGCGTTCGGTTCGCTCCGGTATTCAGTGCGGAGGCTACGTACGAGTCCAATTCCCCTGTGCCGTTGAATCAGCTTCCTTCCGGGACGAAACACCTTCCCACAGGAACACATACATTCACGAGCGCAGCCTGCAGCTCGGTGACGCTTATAGATCCGGATTTGTCCTGATCCACCGCTGAGAAATACTGATACAGCTGCGGGTCGCCGCCTGCGGGAGAATAGCCTTGTCCGCTGGAGGCAGAGTTGTGGTACCCGTGCCCGTGCCGCGATGCTCGAGCCTGCTGGGTGTAGGGATTTGAGTTGTAGTTGGACTGGGTGTACATGGGTGGAGGGTGGGAGAGCGGAACTTGAGAGGTTCAGAGCCGCGCAGTTGGTTTAGTATGACGCTGACTCGTGGCAGTGTTGTACAGCCACTTGAGGCACGCGATCTCCGGAAACAAAACTGCGGGATTCGCGAGCACAGCTTTTCCGGATGTGCAGTGCGACATTTATTCGAGTCAGTGGAAACGGTTGGGAAGCGCAGACCACAGCCTCGAGGGCTCCTCGGCTAGAAAGGGCAACCGACAGTCGGAATAAGTGGCATGACGTACAGCACCCTGTGAGATCGCTGACACCGGCGAAGCCAGGACATGCAGCTGAATTTCTTGCGCACATCAATCTATGAGTGGGTTGAGCGGCCACTGGCGACGGGACCGCAAGAAAGAGCATGAGGGAATAGTTCTATTAAAGAGTCCAGACCTCGAAGCCGCCCATCGGCGAAGAGACGCTCGAGAGAAGTTAGAACTAGAAGAGAAAGAGTTTTTGAGAAGAGTGTACTGCCACAGGCATGTCATTGCCCGGCCATCAAGGCCCCCACATCCCGGCTGGTGGGGTGCCCGAGCCGGTTAGCCTCTTGGCCCTTCCCTTCATGACCGACTTCAGGGCTGTTATATTCGATGTGTGTGCTGGACGCCTCTTCGAACCCACGACGAAATCGCACTCACTTGGCCCTCAGATTGGCGGCGTGGTGATGGGCAGCCCGTTCGTCGCAATTGCCGCCTACGAACGGAAACTGGGGCTTCCTAAAGACTATCTCAATTGCTCAATGTAAATCGAACACACCTTGACAGTTGGGGTCCTGAAGAGTGCTGCAGCGTCGAAAGAGGGGCCGATGGCGCTTGGCAACGGTTTGAAAGGGGCCAGCTGCCTTTGCTTCCGTTCTACGAGCAGTTCAGCCGTGACCTGAGTGACACCGTTAATGGAAACATTTGGTACAAGAGATACTGCACGCGTAGAGGAATAGGTGTGTGTACTGTCACGTAAACAATTTACGCGTTGCACTATGCTCACTCGCGCAGAATGCCCCGTCCTACCCAGCAGCCTAGCCGTGGATGGCCGAGAAGTCTGCACATCCTTGCTGCACCCGATGGTCTACTGCTTACCATAAAATTCTCCGTAGCTGTTCGGATCTATGATTCGGGAGTCGGGCTCTTACGACCCGCATATTCTCCGAGCTATCCGCCGGATTCGAGGTGGGACATGCATGCTACTCGATGTTCTTGCAGCTCAGAATGTTCTCGCAGCTGCTGGAAGACATAGGATAATTGCGCTCACAAATAACTTTGCTCGCACATCGACAGAGAACCCCATTCCCCAGTCGGAACTCGAATTCCTTGGTTGGGACCGGGAAGGCGCTACCCCCAGCTCACTCCGAGGCCTGTTCGACGACTTCTGCGATAGCAGCGAGCTGGGCGCTCGGTAAGCTCTTTGCCACAAACAATGTGGCGGGTTCCTGCATCAGATCCTGGCTAACAAGCGCAACTCAGCAAGCCAGAACGTCGCTTCTATCAAATGGCATTGGACCGTAATGGCATACGCCCGCAGCAGGCTGTGTTCTTGGACGATATCGGCATGTAAGTGCTTCCGCGACTCTCGCCTTGGCTTCCACTTCAACGACGCCTAGAAATCTCAAGGCAGCGAAGGACCTGGGAATGGAGACCATCCGTAAGTCCAACATGCCATGTCTAGCAGCCTTCCTTCATGGCACATCTTCCCTAGATGTCCCCATTGGGGGCACCTTATCCGCGGCGCAACAATTAGAAGCTAAGCTAGGCATTGACCTCACGGGACGTCCATTCGAAGAGGAAGCGACCATGGCCAAGTTGTGATGCAGCTGTTTGGACGCGTCTTCAGGAATGCTTCGGGCTTACTAGTACAGCGATATTCCCGGTAGAGATGGATGTACTTCGAGGATGTTCATCGTTTCTTTGATAGACACACCTACACCCGCGGTACTAACTATCGTCCGACAAAGCACAAAGCTTAGAAAGGTTTGTCGGAGGCAGGCGTTGTGTCCTCGTAGTACAATTTGAGCTGCGGGCAACCATGTCAGTGAATGAGAGCATCCAAAAACCATGGAACCAACAAGAGGCGTCTTGACCAGCACCTCGCGGCGCACGAGAGGAGTGACCGAAAGGAACTGGAAGCAATCCCGAGGCATTAGATGACCATCGTTGGACCGCGGACGATGTAGCGCACCAAGAATGCACCAGCACCAGCTCCGACGGCCCAAATTCCAAGAGAGGACGTCCAACGTTTTGTGAGCTATTTCATGATCCGGGTTTTTTGTAAGCAAGAAAGGCTGAGTGACAAAGGGAACACGAATACGTTGAGCGTGTGCGTCAAGGGAGAAGTGTGCGAGAGTGTGAGTCGAGACATGTCGAGTTCTAAGACGTCGGGGAGAAGCGATGGTTAGCAAAAGGCAATCTGGTGCTCGAAGATACATACTCGGCAGAACCGTGTCTATGTCTAGGATAACAGTAGTTTCGGACTCGGAGGAGTCGGGGTAAGTCGGTGAGGTCACGATTGTCACGGCGGATGCGCAAACGTGACAGGACGTGACAGGGATTTTGGCATTTCATTTGATATCCACGCTCTTCAGCTGCTGAGAGGCACGCGCTGCGCTGCCCGTCTCCTTGTCCTTCGCACCTAAGGCATCGGCACCGAACGTATCATCCGCCAGTTAAGCTATGGCAAACCCGCGTCAAAGAAGAAAAGCGCGTTCTGCAACGCACAGAGCAGTCTCACATTCGCGCAATGTGAAGCGTAACCTTAAGAAAAATCCCCGTGAGTCAACATTCAATTTGCGTAGTCCACATCTGTCCACTGAAAACTTGCAACGCTAGCCATACGCGGCCCCGCATCCGTTATCTTGGCTGAGCGATGGGACAAGCGAAAAACCGTCCGCCAAAAGTGGGTCCCTGTTGCTTCGGATATGGAACACTCGACCGATTTCGAGCCGCTCGAGTGTGCTAGCCCTCACGGTACCGGCGTTCCAAGGTTCCGGTCTTGGCTGCATCTGGTTCTCGGTCGATCATGAACTTGTTGTTCTACTCGATCTAAAATCGCTACGTAGTCCGAATCGGAGGACGCGGCACTGTTCGCATTACAGCTTTCCTATTCATACTCTCTTTTTCCGGGCAATAGGTTCTGACGTTTCCTGTTTGTAGCTACGCCGCGCTTGGACTGGCTCACACTCTAAATCCTACCGCATCAGGCGGTGTGGAGCGAATTGATGCACCAACGACCACTATTACCGAAGATGCATCAGCAAATCAGACGGCCGTCGCTTCTACGTCGTCAACAGCCAATGGAGCAGCTCCGATACCGAAAGGCCACGGACGAATCATTCGTGACGAAAAGGGTCATGTTTTGAGGATTGAGTTGGCAGAAGACGACGAAGAGGGGGCCATGGAACTGGACGAGCGTGAAGTTTTGGATCAGGACATGGAGGCGCTCGGACCTGAGTTGGACTCCGGGCTTGTCCAGAAATGGGTGACCAGTTTAGGAGGGACACAAAGTGGAGCCGGAAATGTTGTCGAAGGTGAGTTCATGAATCACTTTTGGCATACAGTCCGGTACACTAGACCTTTGGGTCGGTGGTTTCGGTGGGCACTGCGTGAATGGGCCTGTTGGTGGGCAAGTGAATTGATGGAGTGCGCGCTTCTAGTCGCTGCCCGATGTTTCAGGAGACGCTACAATCGTAGAAACTCTAGGCAATTTCCCTGCGCCTGAATCGGGATAGCAGAGCATCGAGGAAATTAACCTTGCTCTTGCGGGACCTCGGCGGCGTTGTCGGTGATGGTGCCGTATTTGTCCCAACTTCTGCTGTGCGATTTCTGCGGCCTGGAAAAGAACAGACTCAACGCCGAGCTTGCTTCCTTTTCATTTCTTGCGTTCTTGCGATCACATCAATGACGATGACTTACGGCATAATTGACTGGTAGCTCTCGAACGCATATCGGCGACGACGCAACTTAATGGCCAAACAACCTTGTCCGTGTCCAATTCTGGTGTTGGCTCGAGAACTGCATCCGCTGGGGAGCTTGGCTACATGCAGCGACTGGTCCAAAAGTATGGTAACGACGTCGAGCGGATGGCGAGAGATCGCAGGGTGCGTCGCGCGTTCTCGTTTTGTGCCCCACATCGCTGACAGGCAGTCCCAGCTGAACCCGGAACAAAGGACCGCGGGCCAATTGTCGCGTAGCCTGCACAAGTGCGGGCTCTGAGACATAGTGTGTGTGTCTCCCCTCTGTCAGCCGGAGTGTAATACATCGCGGACACCAGGTTGGGCGCTGGGTGATTTGGATTGTCGAGTAAGATTTGGCGTGAGCAATGATAGAGGATGGTGATTGCTAGCGAGGATGTGCTGTTCCCCTTTGGACAGAGTTCCATTTTGGACAGTGAACCAGATGTTGATCCAAACGTTGATCCAAACTGGTTGGTCGATTGTGAATGTAACGGGGTTACGAAAAGCGATTGGCACGGGAGGCGGCGAGCGATGGGACATGTATTGGACACGGCTTGGACAGTGCTTCGATCAGGTACTACGGCCGGGCTCGACGTGCCAATACGATGCTTCCTGCTATGTACTTCCCCGCCGAGAAGTGCATCCCGGCCCAAATCATGCCTTTCCCTGTTTGCTCCGACACAACGATTCTTTGACAGCTATTCCACAAGCAAAATCTTTGCAGATCCGCTCTACCGTAATATCCTCCATTCTTATAAAGCGCCACATCTCTTCTCGTCTTCTCCCCAGCTCGCTCTCCTCATGGCCCCGAGAGCAGTGTCTTCCGCCACTCCGGCTCCTTCATTGCGCAACACCGGCACCCGCAGTGTCTCTGCGCCCTACCGTCGGCCAGTCGGCCAGCCAAAATCATCGCGCCAACAGTATTCAGCGTGTGGGGCATGTCGAATGCGAAGGTATATCGCGTCCAAATTATCTTTTCGGTCTCATGTTCACCACGCGTAGGGTCCGCTGCGATCTCAAGGACCTCCCTGTCGCGACTGGGCCGCACCCAGCGTGTTCGAATTGTCAGGAACGGGGGCTGAAATGCGTGTATGTGGCCTGTCATCGCTTACACTTACACCTACATTTCATTCAGCGATGAATTTGCCGATGTCAAAGCCGTCAAGCTACTCAGACGCGGTCGGCGGCTACAGCAAGTGGAGTAAGTCGTCGGAAATTTCCCAATCCCGACCAGCGTTTGATGCGCGTCCTCCAGGGCAATCTACGGCAAGGGTGCCCCGGACGAATCTTCCCCGGGCTCAGTCCCAATTGCCGCCCGGATGCCAAGCATCATTCCCCAACTCAAACCCGAATTTTTCTCGTCGCCGTTCTGGAGTTGGTTTAGCCTGCAAAGTAAGCTACTCATAGTCGCGTTGGCTTTCGCCGCTTGAACTAGTTTCAGGACCGATACTTGATCCGACTGAGTTTCCGGCGCGTTTCCTCGCACATTCAAAGGGCTCTCACCCTCTGGGCAACGAAGGGAAGATACTATTGCATGTGCTGGTTGCGTGGGCGGCATCCTTTGGTATCGATGAACGGGGACTCCCCTACAATGATGCGTCGTCGCGTCCCACGTCTGCACGACCGGAGGATATTCGTACAGATTTGGGCCAAAGGACCATGGTCGCCGAAAGAACTCGAGCAGAGCGCAAAAGCCGTACCGTCGGAATGGTCCAAGAGATTCTAGCGCTGATTGACACGCACGGCATCATGAGACGACCTACTTGGGACGGCGTTCGCATTCTGCTGCTTATTCTGCCCCTCATGGAGGGTAAGGATCGTACCATCTTGGCCAACGTGGGTCTGACTGCTTTTGGCTCAGATATCTCCATATCTCCTCTCGACCGCCGATGCATGTATGAAGCCACCCTGAACCAGGCAGCCGCGTGTGTATCGTCCGGCGGACCATCGCTGTCCATGCACTGCTTTCCGCATGCATCAGACGATACGCTCACCCGGGCTCGCATCCTGTGGTACGCGCACATGCATGAAGGATTGACAACTGGAATGCGAGGGGGTCGGTTTATTCTGTGTGTCTACTTCCCATCATTTATTTCTATGACTGATCTATGTTCGCGCAGCACGGAAGACGATATCGATTCTTTCCAGAGCTCTATCGCGCCCCACAGCCTGGGATTCCACTCCAATTCGCCGATCCCGTCCCCGCTCGCTGCATCATTTCCCCCTTCTCCGGATCTGCCGGTGCCGCATCGGCTGATTCATCCGCAAAGCGCGCACCCCCAACTTGTGGGTGCACTCCACTCGTACATGTCAACAGCGGACACTTTTTCGATCCCGCTGCATCTGAGCTTGGTGTGCAGGCGAGTGTATGCGGTTCTTACCGGCAGCCGCGCCGCTCGGCGCGCCCAGGAAGGTGGTGGTATCGATGCCGAGGGGATGCGCAATGTTTGGGACGGCTTGGAACAGTGCTGGGAAGATTTGGACATGCTGCGTCATCGTTCTGATCTGAGTGAGGACTGTCATATGTTTGTCGGGGGATGGCAGGTATGTCGATCCACACAAGACAGTTTCAGCCGCTGATTTATGCTCCGCTTAGATGTACATCTTTGAATGCCGTGAGTTTTTTCTGTGATTTATTATACGATTCTGACGGGTTGAGATAGACAACATCATTCGAGAGACGTTGAAGCAGTACTCGATGCAGAGCACGGTAGCAGATCCGACGTCCCCTGTGTTTTCGGGATCTCCGCGGTCCCATGGTGCTACTTTCTTGCCAGCCCCGCAGTTGCATGTCATCGCCAGCCGCAAATGCTTGAGGCTCCTTCCTTCTGTCCTCGGGATCATGCGCTCTTTCCTGGGCCGACCTGAGTGCAGCATCTTTGCCTGGGACGCCGGATTGGTCCGTGACGGATGCTTCTTTGCGGGATTCCTGTGTGCTTGCCTAGAAAACGACGCGGCCGAGTTCGCTGTCGAGAACAGGGAGCTGAATCACGCAGACATGGAAGGAGTGCGCAGTGCGTTGGACGCGGACGAAGGCATCCGATTGTGTCTGGCCGTCCTCAAGGAGATGGGATGGGCCTTTTCCAAAAGCGAGGAGCGCGAAGACACTGTTCGCCGCATTTGGGATGACAAGAAGAAGCGTAAGCTCGAGCAACAGCATGCTGTCCAACATTCTCTTCCACCCTATGAGCTCGAGTACCATTCGCCCCCGACGACGTATCACGAGGGTTCGTTCTCTCCCTTTCCTCCGAAATGGGTAGGGGAAGTGGCCACCATGCCTCTGCTCCTTGGGGAACGTCCGATCCTCCCCCCGCTCGTTCTGATGCAGCACGACTCGCCGCCCCGGCAGCTGATCGATTCTGCCCCGAGCACCGGCTACAGCGTCGACGGCACTGGCGCCAGCGGATGGCCGACGTACACTCCGCCGGGGACTGCCAACTCGGGGACCAGCACGAGCACTGGCGTGAGCTCTGGGGGGTCGCCTGTTTTCCCCAATCTCGGCGGGCCGGATATCATGGCGTTCAAGACCGAGAGCGAGACCAACAACCCGTTCTTCCATGTCACGCGGGACTTGGATCATCTCAGTTTCAACGCGCCGACGGTGGTGGTGAGAGATCCGACAGAATGCCCGCCGCCTCACTACAGTCCGTCGGGTTTCATCAACTCGGTCAACTCCGTGTACCAGGAGCATGACGACATGGACCACAGCGCTGCTGCGTTTACGACGGAGAATTGCGCCGGTGAATTTTATCATTAATCTATTTCGGACTCGGCTTGGGCCCCATATCGTTATCCTCTCTGTTATTCTCACGCTTTGTTCGTTATTCGTCATTGTTATCGCCTCGTCCTGGGCGACGAGATCTCATGGACCGATTCATCCGTATTAGTCTACACTGTATCCCTACATCGTTCAGCATGTTAATCGTATACCTGGATCACCCTCAAGCTCGTCTTCTGCCGGACCCTGTTACTCATTCGACTTTGCCTTCTCGTTGTCGCAGCGGATTTAGACTTTTTTTTTATTTGGCTCTGCCTTGAAACACGACCATCAACGTCATGGGCAGCGCGCAGAGCTGTGGCAAAAAGAAATCTCCTGCGCAACCGTGGGTTCCGGGTGGTCGGCAAGTGCGAGAACGTCGAGGAATCCGTGTCCGTTCTAAGATGCGACGTCTGCAATGCGTCTGGCTTCCACTTCCGGGACACCGGGATGGCACATACATACGGTGGGGCGTGACTGTCATGCACCGTGAGAAGCCGGCCTGCAGAATAGTCCCATTCCGCACTGGTTGACTTCTTGGACCACCCTGCTGGCCTGCACATTACGCAGACGCGTTAGGAGCGTAAAAGCATCCTCGAACCGCATGTGCGCGTTTTCCTTTTGCACCTGCAGCTGTCACCCGAATGGTTCTTTCTGACACTCGACCTCGACCTAGCTTCACAATTAGGAGTGGAACTGGGAGCCGCACGGACGCGACGTGCATTGTTCCGCGCAGAAACTGTGTCAGGGCACGGGACAGGAAACGCGCTAGCTCGAATCGACTCGACCCGACTCGACTCATCCGAGCGCTGCAATAGCGGGCTCTCTCGCGCGTGTCGACGCGTTTGGCTTGACAAGGTCCGGGTTTTCTCGCCTTAGGCCAGCTCCCAGGTCACCGTGCTTGCTGGACTGGGCGGACGAAAGCTTGATTCTTGGCATGGGATGATGCCATCGGTGCTGGATCGCGTGGAACGTCCTTCCCAGTCATATAATCTCGCGCTAACTGGAGATGGCGATGGGCTCAAACTGTGGCCCCATGAATTGAATCTTCTTCTCCTTGGGGAGTCTGCGTTTGGAGAGAGGGATCTTGCGATCGGAGCCTTTTCTGACTCGCTCTGGGAGCCACCGCCGCTATCATCTCTTGCTGCCACCCCCTTCCCAAGTCGCCTCTCAACACTGGTCATGACTTGAGAGATTGGGTCTCCTTCATTCGACGACTCAAGCTCCGTTCGGCCCAAATCCAAGACCATTCCCAGACCAAGACCGTTCCAAGTCCAATACCATTCCAACCATCCAGACTGTTTCCCGCGGCGCAGTTATGCGACGAGAATTTCGCTGGTGCATTGAGCCACAGTTTTCTCTCGCCTATCGCATGGTCAACACGCTGGATAATCTATTCAATCACTGCTGGCCCATGCGCGATGTCATTCGACGCGGCGCGGCGGTTAGTAGCGGTGACCAGATATATAATCTATATGCATTCCACTAGCTTCCAATTGAGTCAATCGGTGCAAATCATCCAAACTCAATTCCACACATCGATTTAGATGATTGAGGCTGAGAACTAAGAGGCCTACCGACAAAACGCATCTGAGGATTATTGTCATTTAGGTTGGTTGTCGGGCATCGAACATTAGATGCAGATAAGATCATAGATGCGTATTATCTTATCTCCCCTCAGTCACGCATTCGGAACCGTGGACATTGAAACTCCGCTTACTTGCCTCCTGCTTAGCGCGCGCTCTGCTTGAACCATCACGACAAGTATCGAAACATGAGCCATCGCGGTAGTGACAGAGGACGGGGAGCTCCGCCCCATGGGGGTCCTCGCGGAGGTGGACCTACTCCTCGAGGCGCCAGTCCAGACCGAGGTCGCGGAGGTGGTTATGCAGGCCGGGGTGGAGGCGGAGGCGGAGATCGGGGAAGGGGCGGGGGATTTGATCGAGGAAGGGGCGGGGGCTTTGATCGTGGACGGGGTGGCGGCGGTGGCTTCGACCGTGGTCGAGGGGGCGGGCGCGGGGGTCGCCCTGTCGGTGGGTGAGTGTCCATCATCCTCCTGGTTCTCTTGTGTCGTTCTCAAGCTCGCCAGTGTCTTCCTCGCTGATGTCCCCGCAACCGTCGACGCTCGTCTGTCTGATAGTTCTGATCTCGCACTTGTCCAATCGTTCCGCAGTGTCCCGATTCAAAGTGGCGAGATTCCTCTGCGTCCTGATTATGGCACCGTTGGCAGACCGATCAAGCTTCGAGCCAACTTCTTCCCCGTCCGTGTCCGAGTTCCTGATGGAGCGTGGTTCGAATACGATGTCAGCATTACCCCCGTTGCGGGGACTGCAGCGCGGAGGGTGAAGAAGCGGATCTTTCATTTGGCCGAACAGTCCCGGGAGTGGACTCAATACGAGCTGAAGGACAATGTGGCTCACGACTATTCGGCAAAACTCATTGCTGCGAAGAAGCTGCGTCAGCCACTCAACATCACCGTGGTCTTCCACGACGAGGACGAAGAAGTACCGAAACCAAAAGACAAAGGTTATAAGGAGTATACTCTGAGCATCAAATTCGTGCAGAACTTGGACAAAGCCGCGCTTGCCAGGTAGGACAATCTTATTCAGGAGCGTTCCTTTTGTGAGCTGATTACGGTTGCAGCTACCTGAATGGCGATATCCAATACCGCAACTACGACATCTTTCCGCTCATCTCAGCGATGAACCTCATTCTTGCCACTCATCCTAATCGTCCCGGCGGTGGCGTCATGGTTGGGCGCAACCGGTTCTTCTTCCCCACTGAGAACGTACCTTCTCCTTTGGGCGGAGGTCTCGAAGCATTCCGCGGTTTCTTCTCGTCGGTTCGGCCCGCTCACAAACAGCTCATGGTCAACGTCAATGGTAAGCTTAACTCATTTGCGTGAGTCCGAGCTTGTTCTGACTCCGCCTCAGTCTGCACGACTGCTTTCTATGTTCCGGGAAATCTTGCCGACGCCATCGACCAGTTTACGCGGTCCAGTTTCGGCGCACGAGCAACTGCTTTTGCGAAAGGTGTTCGCGTCAAGGCCATGCATCTTGGCTATAAGAAGACCGTCAAACGGGTCGCGGACAAGTCTGCACGCCAGTATACCTTCGAATGCTCGGACTTTGGTGGCCAGCGAGTCTCGGTCGAGCAGTATTTCAAACGCAGTAAGCCGCCTCGATGGTCATGTCGCTTCTCGCTCATCTAGTCCTTTTCCTGACCAGAGTATAACATTACGCTTCGCTATCCTGAGCTGCCGCTCGTCGATGTTGGTGGGACCAAAGCGAACTTTTTGCCTGCCGAACTCTGTGAAATCCTACCTGGGCAAGCATTCAAGGGCAAATTGACGGACGAGCACACTTCCGAGATGATCCGTGTGGCTGCTCAGCCTCCGAATGTTAACGGGAATGCCATCGTCGAACGCGGTCTCGCGCAGCTGGGGTATAATACCGATTCCGGTGCCTTGAAAGGATTCGGACTGAGCATCGGCAAGGAGATGGCTGTTGTGCCCGGGCGAATCCTGGCTCCGCCAGGCATCGAGTACGCCAAAGGTCGTCCGGACGTCGACGACTCCAAGGCCAGCTGGAATCTTCGTAATGTCAAGTTCAAGCGCGGGGCGACTCTGAAGAACTGGGCTGTGCTCCTCATCCGCGATGGCAACCGGAGAACGGAATTCGACGGCCTGAATGATCCACAACTCAGACCCACGGTTCAAGGCTTCGCCGGCATGTGCACTACGTCAGGCATGCAGGTTGCGGATGCGCCCGAATATGTGGAGGCATTCATGCCTCCGAAGAATGCACAGGATCCCACCCGATTCAACGCCATCACGGTCATCGACAAGGCGCTCAAGACGCTCAAACGCAAGCCGACGATCGTTCTCGTCCTCCTATCCAGCGGTGACAAGCATATCTATGCCGGAATCAAGCACTTGATGGACGTCCACCTTGATATCGGCTCGGTCTGTGTCCAATCTGAGAAGATACGATCGGAGCGAGGTAGGTTCTCGGATTTTAGCCAGTTTCACGGCGGTGGCTGATGCTTTCAGGACAATTGCAATACTTTGCCAACGTCGCGCTCAAGTTCAACATGAAGCTTGGAGGAATCAAGTGCGTGCCTGTGTCCAACTGTCGAGACGTTCTTCTTTGTTGACTCCGTGCAGCCATTCATTGGACGCGCGAAGTGTTGCCTGGTTGAATGAAAAACCGATCATGTTGGTCGGCGTCGACGTGACACATCCGGGCCCTGGCTCCGTCAAGGGCACGCCGTCCGTGTCCGCAGTCGTCGCCAGCATCGACAATCAGTTTGCTCAGTTCCCTGCGAGTATGCGCATCCAGGAAACCAAAAAGGAGGTGTGTGACGTGTGTCTGTCGCGTGACTTCAGTTGGACCTGACGGATGCATGCGCAGATGGTGACCGAGATGGAAGACATGATGGTCGAACGGTTGAAGGCTTTCCAAGGCCGGAACCAGAACAAGCTTCCGGATCGCATTCTTGTCTACCGAGGTTTGTTATTCTCGTTTCTGTGCAACTGGCGGGCTGTAACTGGATTGTCAGATGGTGTGTCTGAAGGGCAATTCAAGATCGTCCGGGAGGACGAGCTGCCTTCAATGAAACGAGCCTTCAAGCGGTTCGGACCCAAGTACAGCCCGAAACTCAGCATCGTTATCTGCGGCAAACGTCACCACACGCGATTCTACCCAACAGAGGCTGGAAATGCTGCGAACGACGGGAATCCCCGACCTGGAACGGTGGTTGATCGAGGAGTCACGGCCGTGTACGAATTTGACTTCTTCCTGCAAGGTCTGTCGATCCGTCTGTTGTTTGTGATGTTTTTTTCTGATGAGAGAACAGCGCATGGCGGACTGCAAGGGACGACACGGCCGACACATTACTACGTCGTGCACGACGAGAATCAGTTCAACGCCGACCGGCTGCAACAGCTGACCAACTCTGTCAGCTACATGTTCGGTGAGCCCACCGATCTTGTTTCCCGTGCATGAGTTGACCGCGTCTACGCAGCTCGGGCCACGAAAGCGGTGTCCCTAGTCTCACCTGCGTATTACGCGGATCTGGCCTGCGAAAGAGGGCGGTGTTATCTGCACCGGCTGCTCCAAGGCCTCTCGAACTCAGCCTCGACATCGGCGAGTGGTGCGTCTGCCGATGAAGCTGTTATGAAGGAGGCTAGCCAAATGTGGCGGGGCGGTGTCAGTGGCCCGCAGCTCAGCAACACGATGTATTATCTCTAGGAAGTATCATGTATCGCTCTCTGTCCTTGTAGTTTTATTTAGTGCCTAGACGGTATCTCGTTCTGACAATGTAGCCATCTCGCATATCCTGACTGCGTGACTGCCATTGAATTTGAACAATTGGATCGAATCGATGGTAGATTTGGTCGAGGGATTACCGGCGCGGTCCCCACCCAGCCGACCTCTTGCTACGGCAGAGATGCTCGAGCATTGTAAATAATTTCGCGACAGAGACCAGGAGACAATCACCATCCGCATGCTCTCCCAGGTCTCAGCTTCTTACGTGGCCCACATCCGCAATGTGCGGGGCTGCACTGAGCATTTCGACGTCTGGGGGGATCACGGTCAGTGTGGAAGAGATGGTATCCATGAGAAAACACATGAGGGCTACATGTGGTACGTGAGGTTTCAGTTCGGTGGGTAGAACTAGACCGTCGCAACGTAAGTCAAATCAGATTCAGATCGGCGCGATAAAAATCACGGCGGTGCAGCCCCTCCACAGCCGTCGCTCAACTGTGACAGGAAATTATGTACGCTATTATGACGAAGGAAACCGTCCATGAGGACGAAGCAAGCCTAGTTCAATTGCACGTCATACCGTGATGGCAATGCTGTCGATCAATCAGCTGTGCACGTGCTCATTTCTCATCACGTTCTCATCCGCGCTTCACCGTCGCGTGTACCCGTTTCACGCGTCTATGCGCGATGCGCGGTCTCTAACTCCCTCAAACCACATGGCTATTTCGAAAAATGGCCCCTCTACTCGAGAAGCTCCGCCAGGCTGACATGATCGGCCCAGCAACACTCAAACCGATTGGAAGGAAGATATGGCTGGGATGGAGACAGGGACAGATACGGCCCCCCATGGAGATACGATCAGCGCGTCTGGGGATGACATGGATGTGCTGCGGATAGATGTTGTGGGAGACACAAGTCCGCCTTCTTTCTGCTGCCCATCCTCGTTCTCACCGCGTACGGCGGCAAGAACCGAGAACTCTGGCCTCGTGGTCTGGTTTCTTGAGCGAGCCTCGTCATTGTTGAGCTGGGACAGGCCGACGACTTGGTCCCTGAGTTGTTGACTCGACAGCGGTGTGCTGATCCCCGTGCTCGTAGTAGTCCGTGTAGCTTCATGGTGATGAGAATCGTGACAATCCGCCGTTCGATAATACACCAGCGAGCGGAGTCCCTGTCAGAGACAGATGGGCATGGGAATGAACACGGTGGGCGAGCTGACAAGGGAGGCCCAGTGGCAGATCGTTGCTGGAGCCTGGAATATCTGCGAACAGATTTCTGGACGAGAATAGCAGACACTTCCACCTTCCGCCCCGGACCTTGTCTGATCACTGCGCCGTCGATGAGGTGCATTGAATCAGCATGTGGGTTGTCGGATTCCGCGTGAACTTGAGGGGTGTTATTGGCTCGTGGGCTTGTGGTCGCATTCCAAGCGCAGCAGAAGTCATCTGACCCCAATTCATGGCCCCGGATGGCCCACCTACGGCTCTCGATATTTTTACTCCCTCCCCGTGGAGTCTAACCTTTGAACGTGTTGTGTCCCCTTGGGATGCTATAATCGCTGATCAGTTCCGAGATCCATTCCAAAAAAAAGAGAGCTACATTCGAGTACGAATCGCTATGTGAGAACCGGTCCAGTGTTAGGAGGCCGTCCTCCGAGGTGCAATTTTCCAGTACTCCACTGGGGGGACAGCGCAGATCCAACGCTTCATCCATCCTCCAGCTCCGCCCAACCATTCCGGATGTTTCCAGACAATCTATCTCCAATCGATCATTCTGGAATCGAGACAACAGATCTGTGGATCGACTAGGCTGTATGCACTCAGAAAACCGTGCGCCAGCATTCTGATCGCTGCCCTGGTGGAGCAGCCCCGGGACTAGTATTTGGGTGCCGCGGTCCTCGGGAAGCGGGGAGAACTCGCCTTGAACGTAATATCCATAGAATGCAAGATCGCCCCAAGCGAGACAGGTCCGCGCCAAGGACGGCTGAGTTGGTAGCCGGTCCGGTGGTGCGTGAAGTATTCAGGGAGGCCTGCCTTAGCACACCTGGGTCGATTCGTTTGCGCGCCAGATACATGCCGTCCGGTTACGAGCCGTGCGCAGAAGACCGGACACTCGCTGGTCACTACCCGCGGCCGAGGGGCCACCAGAGAGAAGCCGACCAGCATGTGCAGGCATATGGACCCACGACCAGGTAACCGGCACCGTTCGACTGGCGTGTCCACCTCCAGCGTCGGTCCATTGTAGTTCCAATCGAAGAAGGGAACGGACGATTCGAGTTCCCTCCATCTTGCTGGGACCTACGGCATGTTCCAGGAGACAGGCGGAACTCCTGGTCACTCTACCCCAGGGTCGATCAGAATCCTCGGGATCCGTGAGCATTCCTTTGCTTACCTGCTGCGGTTCACCGCTGACAAACGCACAGCACGAGACTGAGCACGTCGGACACTAACAGGTGCCCGGGCGGCTCGCATTCCGCATGGTAGCCATAGATTTGATTGCCCGCCAAACCGAAATGCGCTGCGAGGGTCTCGGTCCTGTCCGGACGAGGCGGACAGTTGATCCGCACGAAGGGCAAAATCGAGAGCCGGATCCTAGGGATGGGTCTCCCAGACATTTGTTCCAAGACGTCTGCTCAACGGTTTGATCTGCTCCAGACCAGCGGCAGTCAGTGGAGACAGCGCCTAGGTCTAGAGTTCGTCTCCCATGTCTATCCACACCGCACATTGGTCAGCGCTGAGCCGGCATGCAGGCCCAATACGCCCAATAGAACGGAAGATCACGCATTTCCTCGGCAGCAGGCAGAGAGAAAGCATGGCTCTGAGCCCCGGAGCACTTGTCTGCGGCCCCGGGTAATTGAATCGGAGTGAGAGAAAGATTAGCGCCCGGCTTTACATCAGAGATCCTGCAGCAAAAAGGCGCTACCACAGGCTCACGGGGCTTCTATAGCATGGCGCCACGGCGGGATATTTCCGCAACTGCCCCCGAGGCCAACAAACGTCCGTTCTCTCCCGTTCTCTGCTCTCAGTGGCGCGTCCGAGCCTGAGAGCCTCCTAACTTCGATCGGCCCACTCGAGCCCAACAGGCCCCGAAGCGGCCTTATCCGGCTCGCGTCGTGTCCCCGCTTTGCAGGGTCGGCACGCCAGAATGAATGCGCCGTCTTTTGCGCACGACCCGAAAGCCCGAGCTAGATCCGGGACAGTCCTCGCTGCGTGCTCTAGATGCACACGAGAAACAGATTGTGCCCGTCAAATGGGGAAGGGAGGGACACAGGAGCAGGTTTGAACGGCCTTCTTATCGAGCGAGGATAATACACCAGATCTGAGATGAGCCACGAGGGATGATCGATTCGATGATGCAGGCGCCCTCTGCTCCGTAGCATATAGCATAGAATGGCAGCCTCTGCAGATCTTTTTGGAGGGCCGCGTCCGTCGAACAGGCGGCTTCCATTGCGTTCGGCTTCTCAGAGGAAGTCCAGCTCCGTGGAGACGAATGAACGAGCGAGGGATTCGGCGTCACAAATCTTGCTATTCGCGCGCGCATGTGCGTAAAGAGCAAAGCTCGGTGTCAAGACGAAGAGTCTTCTCAGCTGTTGAGCAGTCGCGCATGGTAGTAGTAGGTCGTGACGTGACTGATGGGGACTACCGAAGGCTAAAGCCCGCTTACACTGTCACAGTGATTACAACTGTCATGAAAACATACATTCCTATCGTGACTACATAATACAAACGCTCAGGCGGCAACGGCAACACTGCTCGGCGGCGGAACAAAGAAACGGGTTTTGATGCCACCGGCGCTGGGCAGGCGCGTGGTGCCGAGCTCGCTCAACCACGCATCGACTTCAGCTGCAACGCCCCGGCCCTCGTTGATGCCCCACACAATCAGACTCTGTCCCCGGCGGCAATCTCCGGCAGCGAAAACACCCTGCACGCTCGTCGCGTACTTGCTCTTCTTGCCAGGGAAAGCTGTCTGGATGTTGGACCGCGCGTCCTGTTGCACGCCGAGTGCCTTGATCAGCTCCGCCTGCGGGCCCAGGAAGCCGAGCGCGAGGAACACGAGCTGTGCGGGGAAGAACTTGGCGGAACCGGGCACTTCTTCCATCTTCCACCGTCCGCCAGAGTCTCTCGTCCATTCGACTCGAACTGTGCGATGTGTTAATTGGTCGGAAAGAAAGGAGACGTGAAAACGAACCGGTGTTGAGACCCTTCAGTTTTCCCTCGTCGTCGACCACAAAGTCCTTGGTCGAGATGCAGTACTCTCTGGGATCGGCACCGAAATGAGCAGCAACTTCATTGTGGCCATAATCCGTGCGGAAGATCCTCGGCCACTGCGGCCAAGGGTTGTCTCGTCCTCGGCTTACAGGCGGCTGGGGCAGCAGCTCAAAGTTGGTCACACTCTTCGCGCCATGGCGCATGGACGTCCCGATGCAATCGTTGCCGGTGTCGCCACCGCCAATCACGATCACGTCCTTGCCCTTGGCAGAGATGTACTGCGAGTCGCCCAGACCAGAGTCGAGCAATGACTTGGTATTGAGCTGGAGGAATTCCATCGCAAATGGATTCCATCGACCTCCCGATTCGGAATCTTCAGATCACGTGGCCAGGTAGCACCGGTACACACGATGACCGCATCGTGGTCCGCCTGGAGCTCCTCGACAGACACATCGACGCCGACATTGGCGTTCGGCACGAAAGTCTACACAAGAAATTGAGACAGGAAAAAGCACGAGCAGAAACAACACGCACGACACCCTCAGCAGCCATCAGATCCAGCCGGCGCTGCACCACAGCCTTGTCCAGCTTCATGTTCGGGATTCCGTACATCAGCAGGCCACCCATCCGGTCGTTGCGGTCGTACACGGTGACAAAATGTCCTGCCTTGTTCAGCTGATCCGCAGCGGCCAATCCCGCCGGCCCTGACCCGATGACAGCAACTTTCTTGCCCGTTCGGAAGCTCGGTGGATTCGGTGCCATCCAGCCCATCTCGAAACCCTGCAATGCATCAGATTAAGCAGGATGCAAAAGTGATTGACGCACCTTGTCGATGATGGCACACTCGATGCTCTTGATGCCCACCGGCTGCTCGTTGATGCCCAACACACAGGCGCCCTCACACGGAGCAGGGCACACTCGCCCAGTGAATTCAGGGAAATTGTTGGTCAGCAACAGACGGTTCAGCGCATCACGCCACTGCCCCTTGAAGACCAGGTCGTTCCACTTGGGAATCACATTCGAGATCGGGCAGCCCGAGTCCGACTGGCAGAACGGAACACCGCAGTCCATGCATCTCGCCGACTGATACTTGAGCTCGCCCTCGGTCAGTCGCGCGCTGATCTCGTTCCAGTCCTTGACCCGTTTCCTGGGCGGCCGGTAAGCCTCGCCAAGGCGCTTGTATTTCATGAACCCTCGCGTCTTGTCGAGCTTGCTCAGTCGCTGCCGGGTTGTGTTCTCGTCTACAAGCGAGTCCTCCATGTCGGTCACACCAGGCTCCCTCGAGCTGACAGCTCGACTCGGGGTCGGTCTCGGGGGCAGAACATCCTCCAGCCCGCTGGCCAAGTCGACCTGGCTCGCGGTGCGACTCGGGACGAGATCGATCACGCTCTGCCTCATCTTCTCCTCCTTCTCCCGGGCAGCCTGCTCGTTCAGCATCCGCTTGTAGTCGTGCGGCATAACCCGGACAAACAGCGGCAGCAGATGGTGGAAGTCGTGCAGCACCCGATCCGCGACCTCCGACCCGGTGTAGTGCCGGTGGTCCTCAATCAGACTCCGCAGAGCCGCAATCTCGCGCGGATCCGTGACTTTGCCGAGCTCGACCATCTCCATGTTGACCTTGGACGCGAAGGTGTGTGCCGTGTCCAAGACATACGCAATCCCACCGCTCATGCCGGCAGCAAAGTTGCGGCCCGTGGCACCGAGCACAACAACGCGGCCTCCGGTCATGTACTCGCAGCCGTGATCGCCCGTGCCCTCGACGACAGCATTGGCACCCGAGTTGCGCACAGCGAACCGTTCGGCGGCAATGCCGCGGATGAAGGCCTCGCCGGAGGTGGCACCGTACAAACAGACGTTGCCGACGATGATGTTCTCTTCGGCTTTGAATGTGCTCTGCTTCGGCGGGTACACGACGAGGCGACCGCCCGAGAGACCCTTGCCGACGTAATCGTTCGAGTCTCCCTCGAGCTCGATTGTGATCCCCGGCGCCAAGAACGCACCACATGACTGACCAGCGGAACCTTGCATCTTGATGTGGATGGTGTCTTTCGGCAGGCCCTCTTCGCCGTAGAGCTTGCTTACTCGGTAGCTCAACGACGTGCCGAGAGCCCGGTCGGTGTTGGTCACCTCGCAGTCGATGTGCACAGGCAAGCCCTTGGTCAGAGCCGGCTCCGACTCGTCAATGAACTTGTTGTCCAGCCGAATGTACAGCTTGTGGTCCTGCGGCCTGACACGGTACGTCGCAGCACCAGGGCGCATCTGCCATGCGGGTTTGAGGATGGCAGACAGATCCAGGTGGGCCGTCTTGACCGTCCGCATCTTCTCATCCACTTTCAGCATGTCCGCGCGCCCAACCATCTCGTTGATCGTCCGGAATCCGAGTTTGGCCATGTACGATCGCAGTTCTTCCGCCAGGTAATAGAAGAAGTTGATGACTTGTTCCGGCTGGCCAGCGAACTTGGCTCGCAACTGCGGATCCTGTGTCGCAATTCCGACCGGACAGGTGTTCACTGATGAAGAATTTTGAGAAATGAGAGAAGGAACAGCAGCGCACACTCACAATGGCACTTGCGCATCATGATACAACCCATCGCAATCAGGGGCGTCGTGGCGAATCCAAACTCCTCGGCACCCAACAAACAGGCGATCGCAATATCGCGGCCCGTGCGGATCTGGCCGTCAGTCTGCACCGTCACTCTCCCGCGCAGATCGTTCAGCACAAGCGTCTGATGCGTCTCGGACAGACCCAGTTCCCAGGGCAATCCAGCGTACTTGATGCCAGTCCAGCGAGAAGCCCCGGTTCCACCGTCGTGACCTGAGATCAGGATGTGATCGGCCTTGGCTTTAGCGACACCGCTGGCGACGATCCCAACGCCAACCTCGGAAACGAGTTTGACTGAGACCCGAGCACGAGGATTGGAACACTTGAGGTCGTAGATGAGCTGCTTCAGATCTTCGATCGAGTAGATGTCGTGGTGCGGCGGGGGCGAAATCAATCCGACGCCAGCGGTCGAGTGTCTGGTGCGAGCAATGGAGCCTGAGACCTTGTGTCCCGGGAGCTCACCACCTTCTCCAGGCTTGGCGCCCTGGGCCATCTTGATCTGCAGTTCGTCCGCATCAGCGAGATAGTTGGAAGTGACCCCGAATCGCCCAGAAGCGACCTGCTTGATGGCACTGCGCATGGTATCGCCATTGGACAGCACCAAAGACCGTTCCGCATCTTCACCGCCCTCGCCCGTGTTGGATTTGCCACCGAGCCGGTTCATCGCCACCGCCAGCGTCGAGTGCGCTTCCATGGAGATCGATCCATACGACATGGCACCCGTCACAAACCGCCGCACAATCTCATTCCAAGGCTCAACCTGCTCGATCGGGATGGCAGTCGCTTGCTCGTACCGGAAGTCCAACAGCCCACGGAGATGCACCCGCCGTGTCTGCTCGTTGGCGTTCCGCGAGTACGCATCATACGCGCTCTGGTTCTTCTCACGCACAGCATCTTGCAAGTTTGCGATTCCCGCAGGATCGTTGATGTGCGCCTCTCCGCCGTCGCGCCAGTGATACTCGCCCGACTCCGGCATGCCCGGCGGGATGATGGTCTCCCGTGACGGCCAGCCGCGCTCGTGCAGCTCAAAAGCGTCCATCGCCAAAAGGTCGAACGTGGCCCCCTGGACGCGCGAGGCAGTGCCTGTGAAGCAGCGGTCGACAACTTGACTGTGTAGGCCTAGAATCTCGAAGATTTGCGCGCCCTTGTACGAGGCCAGGGTCGAGATGCCCATCTTGGACATGACCTTGAGGATCCCATTATCGATCGAGTGCCGATAGTTCTCCGTGAGTTCAGCCACGGTCTGGTCCCCTTTGATGCTGTAGAATTCAAGTCAGTAATCAGAAAATAGAACACAACGCCATGGCGCACAGATTCTCCCTCTCGACCTTGTGGATGGTCTCCAGCATCAACCACGGGCAAACCGCATCCGCGCCATATCCGACAAGCACGCAGATGTGATGCACCTCCCTCGCCTCGGCAGTCTCGACCATCAACGCAATCTTCGCCCGCTTCTTCTGCAGCACCAAATGATGGTGGACACCGCCACACGCCACAAGGGCCGACAGGGGAACCCGGTCCGGTCCGGTCATCCGGTCTGACAGGATAACCACCTTGATGCCGTCATCGATAGCTTGAGTGGCCTCGCTGCAGATCCTTTCCAGGGCCAACCCGTACCCAGGCAGTCCCTCTGCCTTATCGAAAGTAATGTCGATCGTGCGCGACGGCCAGTGGTCATAGGCGATCTTGAGCTTCTTCATCGCATTCATCTCCTCGATCGAGATGAGAGGTGAAGGAAGCAGGATGCGGTGACACTGCTCAGGCTTCATCTCCAGCAGATTGCCTTCAGGGCCGACGTACGCCTCTAGACTCATTACGACACTTTCTCGGATGGGGTCGATGGGCGGATTGGTCACCTGCGCGAACAGCTGCCGGAAGTAGTCGTAGATCAGTCGGGGCTGGGTTGCCATCGCCGCGAGCGGGGCGTCGTTGCCCATGGACCCGAGGGCCTCTTTCCCGTCAGAAACCATCGGAAGCACGAGCAAATTCAGTTGCTCGATCGTGAAGCCAAACGCCAGCAGCTTAGGGTCGGTTGCCAGAGACGAAGCGTCCAGAATAGGCGCGAGAATGGTGTTGCTCCGCTGAACGCGCTTGATGATGTTGGGCACGTGGAGAATGTGTGACTCGATCCACGACGCAAAGTTCTGCTTCGAGGCAGTCTGGTGCTTGAGCTCCTTGTCGTCGACGATTCTTCCCTCTTCCGTGTCAACCAACAACATGCGGCCGGGTTTAAGCCGCCCCTTCTGCACGACAGTCTCCGGAGCAATGTACACTGCGCCGACCTCCGAGGCACAGATCATGATATCCTCGTTTGTCACCACATAACGGCAAGGGCGCAGACCGTTCCGATCCAGGTTGGCGCCGCAGTATCGTCCATCGGAGAACGCGAACAACGCAGGCCCGTCCCAGGGCTCTTGCAGACAGGCAGCCCAGTTGTAGAAGGCCTTCTTGGCAGGGTCCATGTTCTCGTTTCCTGCCAGGCCTCGGGGATGAGCATCATCACCGCCTCAGGCAGAGTCAGAACCCCGTTAACCACCAATAGCTCGAGCACGTTGTCGAATGCAGCAGAGTCGGATCCACCGGTCTCAATGATCGGAAACAGCAGGTCAAGTTGCTCTCCGAAGTTCTTGGATGCCAGCACACCTTCCGGGCTCGCATCCAGTTTTTGTTCCCGCGGACAGTGTTGATTTCACCTGTCACAGACCCTGAGCACACGGAGATGAGCCAGAAGAGAAACATGCGCACCGTTGTGAGCGGCCCATCGCATGGGCTGCGCACGATCCCAACTCGGGAACGTGTTGGTCGAGAATCGCGAATGGACAAGCGCAAAATGCGCCTGATAGAGTACATGGTTCAGATCGTGATAGTAGTTGTACACTTGTGCGGGCGACAACTGGCCCTTGTACACGATGTTCTTCGACGATAGAGAACAGACGTAAAAGCCCTTGGCGAGGGTGCTAGTACAATCAGTCAGAGAGGCAAGATAAGATAAGGGGAGATAAACGGACATGGAGTGCGTCGCATGCTTGCGCAGGACATACAGTTGGCGCTCAAAATGAGCAGCATCGAATTCCCCTTTCTGACTGGCCGATCCAGTCCCGTAATGGGTCTTGAGAACGACGAACGGCTGGTAGATCGAGGGCTCCTTGCTGCTAGCCGCGGG